CTCCAATGTTTTGTTCTATAACAAAATATCAACGTGTTCATTCAAGTGTCACCACACTTTAGTTTGTGAGATCAGCTACTTACTTCACAAGTAAGAATGCCACACGCAATGATCTATCCGTAATAACGATATCCATATCTCGTTATTACTTCGGCCACAGACGATTTAAGATTCGATTATTTGTAATTTGTATCTCACAATCACAACTCCTTGTGATTAACAAATCACCAAAACTTGAATCTACGGATTCTGTTATTTAATTTATTAGAATATTAATTCAATTAAATAATAAATATTGTCATAAATGCATCAATTATATATATTTAAAGTATTTATGTCTAAAGTTGATTGGATTTAGGGCATAACACTTACACATTAGAGATTAAATGAGTGAAGGCTTAATCATTATTTTGAAGGCGTCGTGTCTCCTCTTTGATGTCAATGCCTCAAATGTCTACCAATCATGATGCATGTACAATGATAGTTGATAAAGTTTGTTGACAATCATGATTTGATATTATCGCATTTATTCATTTCAAAAAAATTTTCAAACTATTTTTTAAATCAACTGTTAAGATTTTGCCACATCAAATATTGTCAACCATAATTGTACAAGTGGATTAATTCAGTATCAACTAGTCACGACCTTTGATAAAACAGTCTAGGTTGAAGTGTGGCCTATAGGTAAGCATTGCAAGTGCTGCCCTTCTGCACCAATCACATAGTCTCTCTCGTACATAAGTGCAATATAGCCAAATGGAAAGACACTATTTCCCTGTTTGGCACCCATTCTCTTTCTCATTTTTATTTTCTTTTTTCACTTCAACCACACAATCTCGAAATAAAATAATATTACACACAAATCTAAAACTTTTCATCACTTTTCCACCATACATTCTTCCATCAATCACTATTCCAAAAATTTTCAACCCATTAAAATGGGTCTCAAACACTCCCTATATCTTGGTTTGATCAGCGGCCACCCACCTTTTCCTCCTATACAAGGAGTCATTTTCGCACCTTTTGCGTAATCATATCAGACAAATACACTTCGGCCCATTTTATTCCCATCTTTAGTTCGACTTCACTAAATTTTACGTCGAAGAGATATCGATCATTGCACCCCAATTTCAGCCAACAACAATCAAATGAGTGCACAGTTTTCTTCGATATTTTAAGACCAAAGTCAGTAAATGCATCCCAAAGTTGATCAATGTGCCACGTTATGTCTTTCCATCAACATTTCAAACATGATTGTGGTGAAAACTCCCCTATTCTATACGTGTTTCGTGTATAATACATAATTGTACAAGAAAGATTCACTTAAAGTTGGATAACCAACTTCGTATTTTACTTATGTGATGTGCTAACATCAGACTTTAACCAAGATCAACATAGTGACTTAATTGAAATAGAAATGTTAGTTTAATGATCATGTTAGAAACCAAATGAAGTTGAGAGGTGAAAATGAAAACTTGGTTGACTAAAGGTATTTTTGACCCTAGAAATTAATGATCTTCTTCTATGTAATCTAGTTATAAAATTGTGTTTGTGCTTTAAAAAGGGTTTGAATCTAGGATTAGATTGTGTAAAGTAGTTTTAAGGAGTAGCTATATAAGTGGTGTGGTCCATAGTCCTGTCTGGGTGCCCAGTGGCATGATTGGGCGGTGAAAATGTGGTCTGCTCTGACATAGGTGCTAGCAAATATGCATGTCATCAGTCATTTCGAATATGTGATGGGAATGGAGATGTTATGCGTGTCCATTTGAGTAAGAGAAAAGGCAGTTTTGAGGTAGCAAAGATCAATCGTGGTACGTGTAAACTATTTTCTATATCATTCTTGACATCATGTCACGTGACACATCACATTGGACAGTTTTAAAAATACACGTACTTTTTCACCAATAATTTTTTGAAAAAAATGAAGTGTCAAAAATAATATCAAATTTTGAGTATACATGTAGCATCGTTCAACAAAAATCTCTAAAGAATCTTTCCTACTACTTTATTTTTATTTTTTAAATTAAACTAGTGGATGGAGGATCCACGAGAGGAATACAGTAATAAAGACACTGATTTTTGGTGTCCTGGTGGACTTGCACTTGCTAGCTCTTTCTTTGCCTTTTCTTGCACCGTCTTGTAGTGATTGCTTTTTCTATTCATCTCCAGTAGTTTGATGTGCCCAACAAAAATAGTTTTATGTCTGTTAATTGCTTTTTTTCCTCTGACGTCTCTCCCTCCCTCCAATGATCTTATCTTCATCTACTTCCTATCATCCTCACTCCATTTCATGTCTTTTCTCTCTCTCTCACTCTCTCTCTCTCTCTCTCCAGTACTAGTTATCCTCTCTTCTCCATATTTGGTAAAAACTAGAATTCCTCCCACAAGTCTATCCTGTCACCACTGAGGCTGAGGCCTGCAGTTTAAAGGTACGACTGAGGAGTATTCAATATACTTTTACTTTTTCCAGCTATAGCTTGTACCCTTATTCTTGTAAGCTTTTCAAGTACTATAGGTCTTGTTTATTGCTAATGATGAATGATCCACTGTAGATTCTTATGACTTTTGCCAAAGTTTCAGATGGGTTTTCGTGGATCTTTGGACGTTGCTTGTATTTCTTGATTTTTTCAGGCCATGAAGTTTAAAATCTTGGGAATTTTTTTAGGTTGCTTCAAGTTCAGTTAATCATTTGTTTAATCTTGCTTCCCTTATGGTAATTGTTTGGGGGATGTTAATAAACTCAACATAGTTGGCCCTGGTTTGACCCCATTTTTGCAAAACTCAAATTTTTTAAATTTCATTTTCAATCGTTCACATGATAAAACATTCCACACTTAGATTAAAAAAAATTTCCTACTTTTTAACCCAAAAAATACTATTCCAAAACGGCTCAAAAATTTTGCTGCTCCTCCTTTGTGACTGCTTTTGGGAAGTGCACAAAACCACAATAAATATTTCATTTGCTGTCGATTTACTTACTGTTAAAGTGGTATCAGCTAGCTTCTTTCCCCTTATTTGTAGGGAATTAAGACCAAACAGGCAAAGACTACATCCTGCTAATATGTTTTTCCCATCCTCTTTATTTATTGATCTTTATGAATCAAACATGTACCAGAGTTTTGAAGCTTTCTTGGAACAAAATTCTGATATTTATTCTTTACTTTCATTCAAGTTATCATTTTCAACTATAATTTTCCCCTATAATTTAGAGAATCATGTGGTGTTATTTCACTCAGACTATTCAAAGCAATTATTTAATGCTCAAGATGATCCATTTGGTTAGATATTTTCTGAATTTCAGTCTTTACTATCTCAACTTGGAGCATCTAATCTCTATGTTAATTTCTTATAATAGATTACATTGAACTTAAGTGATATTTTGTTGTTGGGAGTCTTGTTTGAAAACCTTTTTTAAATCACAAGCACAACTTTGAATGATGTTTGAATGTGTGAAATAGTTCCAGCAAACTGTCTATAACTTGAAACAATTCTAGTAAAAGTTTGTGCCAAGTTTTTTACGCAATTATTACAAGGGTGAACATTGAAACAACTAAACTTAGAATAGTATTTTGATGGAGAATATAGAATTAAATATTTAATAATAAATTGATTTAATAATTTATTATTTCATAAATAAAAATAAAAAAAAACCTGATTTTTGAATTTTCAAACTATAAACCTGATTTTTGAATTGGTGTAAAGTAAACACCTTATTTATGAATTTTTCCCTTTTTTATAATAAACACGGGCTATGAATTTGAGCCTTCATTTTTGGGTCTAAATGCATATTGAAATAGTATTTTGTGGAAAGATGTGTGGTTAAAAAATAAGAAAATTTTTTGAGTTTGGTGTAGTATTATTTTATTGAAAAATATGTAGTTGAAAATAAGAAAGAGAGATGAACCAAACGAGGGACTATAAACCACCCTTAGATTTTGAAATTGAAATTTGAATTTGATTGATGATAGCCACAGAACTGTCATAGTTAAGCCATTTGGACATTAAAAGTGTACATTACTTTTGATAGTATCCAAGTTCGCATGATTTGATTGGTGAAAAATTGTCATGTGACATGATGTAAAAAGTGACATACAAGTAGCATGATTCGAACTGTTATACTAGGAAATTTTGGGGAAAAGGTTGAAGAAACAGGCCCAATGACGAGACCTTTTTCCATGGACTAACTTAGAGGTGGCAAACGGGCTGAGTGGCTCGTAACCTCGGCTCGGGCTCGGCTCGTCCAAAACAAAGGGTGTTTTTTTTATATAAAGGTTTATCTTAAAAAATAATAATAATAATAATAAAATTTGACGAGCTCGCGAGCCGAAGTTCGGCTCGGCCCACGAGCCACAAGCTGAGCAGAAGCTTGGCTCGTGATGAACACGAGCCGAGCTTGTGTGCATACGGGCCGAGCCATTGCCACCTCTAGACTAACTTGACCTTTTTTAATTGACAGTTTTGTTTAAATTTTTTAACTACCAATGAAAATTTGCCAAGTGTATGTGTGTCAAAAACCATGTCATTGACCCTTTTTTTCTAGTAGAACCCAAATTTTGGTGTCTCTGAATTGAACCTGTTTAATTGCCATCAATTGCTTAAATGAGTATGATTTAATAACAATTGATACATTGGTAATTTCAAGTTTTGGATCTTAACAATAATTTGTTGAAGTTGATATATTTTTCTATGCCAAACTCTAGTGGTCGGGTCTTAATCAAAGTTCAAACTTTTTATGACCCTTAAAACATTGCTATACATTTAGAAGCCCTGATCTACGGTGGATAAGCGTTCCTGTTGTTGGATGATGAGGTATGCCCCTTCAATCCATTGAGAAAACTTCAGCTACATTTTGTAGCAGAAGCTCTAAGCAAATGTTCTGTGGTGGAGCACTTCTTAGGATTTCACCGTCTGAACATAAAACAGTGTCTTATCGACCGCCACATTTATAATCGAGGAACACATCTTAACTTCAGTAATTGCCTTCAAAAAATAAAATTGTTGTTCTTTTCTAAAGCTTTTATGAATGCCATGTTCTTAGTTACGGATTTCTTCTTCGTAGTCTAGATTCTTATGCCCGCTTATTGCTGTTTATCTTCAAATTGTGTATGGCGCATCCGTGTGCTCCTATACTATAGCTACCACTTAGACGAGGAATTAAATTCTATCTTTGCTTCTATTTCTCGTGTCCTTACAAAGTGATATGGCCCTCTCTCTCTCTCTAAGAAGGTCATGCGCCATATTTCCAAATAGTGGCACGCGTTTGATACTCGAATCATTTTTGTGCTGCTTTTGTCAAGAGAAGTGTTCGGCAATCAATAGTACTTGGAGACTTGAATATACCTTTCATATAGATTAAGTCGATGAGTAATCTTTAGTGATATGGCCTTCTTTCATTTACTTGATTGAAAGCAAATATGATACATGGAGGTTTTAACATAGTTCTTTGATTTTATTTTACATTTTTTGTGCTCTTTTGTTATACTTTTTTACAACGCATGCAGCTTGAGTTTTATTCTACCATATTAATCATGTTCTATAGTTTAATATATGACTCGGAATCTCACATCAAAGACCCTATTTGGACATTTTTACACGGGCTTCACTTCTATCATATGTCCAGTTGCCTGGTCTATATTTGATCGTGCGAAAGTTTATATTCCAGATGTAGATATTTTACTTCGAGTTATAGTTGCTATATCTACGTGACTCATCAATTATCTGTAGTGTACGAGTGTATGCTTTAGGTCCCTATCCAATAGGGCCTTTCTTAATTATCAGTTCTAGAACCCCTTTGGTTATAGCAAACACGGAGTAGACCATCCATAGTGTATACGTAACAGAACTGGTATAGCAGTTAGTTATATGTTCCTGAGTTGCTGATCCGTCATCACTTGGTGTTTATGTTTCATACATTGTTGTATTCGCCCCGGTAAACGATAACCGCAGACAAGACATGTTCATCTTGCTACTAAAATGTCAAAAAAAATAAAGTATGTCTGATAATATTTTAGATAAATGAAGAGAAAATGAATGTCTGATATCTCAGAGATACTTTCATTCCTGATTGTCAACAGTCCAGACAGTTCAACTACCATTCATTAATGTAACTTAAGACTTGATAGATATCTGTCCAGGGTTAAGTATATGCTTCACCCAAGAAATTTATGCTCGCTCTCTCTCTTGGTTTCCTCCTCCTTCGGTCCACCCGACCAACCCCGTGCCCCTCCCCTGTTGTCTCCAGTTTTTCCATTTTGTTGGTTTAGCATATAATATGTTCTGTCATACTTTCAGCAAAGTGCGAATAAGATTATACACCCCACTGTGTGATGTAAATTGATGGCTGAATGCTTACATTATAACATTTAACATGCTCCATCTTTTATCAGGTTTTTTTTGGGTATATTGCTTGGAGAAAATCGAAATCTTTACTTCACAATCATGAAGTCCCCGAATTTCAACCTCGAGTCTGAAGATGAATCTGAAGTCAGTAGCCAAGTGGCTTCCAATGTCTCTACCCAAGAAATTCCTCCTGATCATTCCAAGGAAACCAATGCCACTTTGTCCAGCCTTACAGATCCCGCCAGCCTACAGAATGACTCAATGCCCGTTACTCTTGATCTGACACTTGGTTTCAACAGCAGTGATGCTGAGTTGAACTGTACAAGCCAAACTAGTGGTGGTGAAGTAACGCCTCATCCTCCGGCTGTATCCAGAGTCTTCTCATGTAACTACTGTCAGCGAAAATTTTACAGCTCACAGGCACTGGGAGGACATCAGAATGCGCACAAGAGAGAGAGAACACTTGCAAAACGGGCTATGCGGATGGGCATGTTATCTGATCGATATGCCAGTTTGGCATCTCTACCTCTTCATGGATCCGCATTTCAATCTCTAGGAATTGAAGCACATGGTTCCATGCATCAACAAGTTGTACAACAAGAGAGGCCTATACATGGGGTAAGAGGTGGAGCAAGGTTTAATCATGGTTATTACGGGTTGCCACTATATGTGGAGGATGATGAAGTAGAAATGTACTGGCCTGGAAGCTTTCGACAAATTGAGGGACATGATGGCAATAATCTGGGGTTTGATTCAGGACAAAATTCCAACATAAATATTGTAGCAATGGTTCCACCTCCTCCAAGGACAGATTCTTCCTTGCCTGATCTAAATTTAAAATTATAACATGATTTCTTTTTCAAGTTTCTGTATCATTTTCTTTAAACTTGAGACTTTAATTATATGTTATATTGTACAGGGAGATTGAGTATTAGAGATGAATGTCAGATCCTGATTTTCCCTCTACTTTTGACATTTCTTCCAAATCTATATCCCTCAGTTCATGTATGCCATGATACAATGGGTATTAGATTTGCAGTGTGGGATAAAATTGATTCTGATTAGTTCTATTGAAATACCAATAATAGATAATTCAATGTTATCTTTCTGCCCTGGAAATCATATTGATCTCTGAAATTTTCACATTCTGGACAGAGACAGGCTGATTAATTTCTGGGCTGCAAATTGCCTAGTGGAAATTCCAGTGATAGGTTGTCACTTGATGTTGTGTCAATGATTATGTCAAGTATAATTTTTCATACATTTGTAGTTGAATCACTTTTTAAGAATTTGATGTTAACTTTCATCGCCATAAAGTCAAATTCCAAATCATATTTTTAAGTCTTCAATCTGTCACTGTTATCCAGGAGTGTCATTGAATATTGATGATACCACTTCTTCCTATGGATGACTTATGGTGCCGCGGGTTCCCGACCTACCTGTTTACAAATTTGTCGCCCATGCTACCCTGAGGTGGTTCACCACCTCAGTCTTATGAGCAGGTACCCCAACCCTTTCCCATGGTATCCCGTTCACCTTCACAAAGGTGTGGTCATCAATCTTGTGCTCGTTAAAACACTAATACCAATAGAGAGGAAACACAAAAGAGAGGCTATGGTTCTTGATTAATTGAATTAATGAAAATACAAAGAAAAGAAACGTTAAATAGTCCAAGAAGAAAATAAAATGACTAATCTACACGGACAAAACTAATATATTTAACATCTTCCCTCAAAATCATGATTCTGCTGCAAGAAGCATCGAGAGCTAACCAAATAGAAAATGAAATCGCGAAGTAAAATGTGACTTTGTAAACAAGACAGCAGTCTGCATGGTGGAAATAACAAAAGGTAATGTTATAGTGCTAAGCTAATGACAATTTGAATAGTACTCTTATTGTCACAATACAATGAAGTAGATCGAAGAAGAAATGCACCCCATATCGGCAAACAACCAACGTAACCAAACAGGTACTTAATAATGCCAATATACTATTCAAGCTGTAAATAATTACAAGGAAATAAAAATAAGACTTCCACTTCCGCATAGGGGTGTCAATTTGACTCATCGGTTAGGGCGGCCCATGACTCTATTCGAAAAAGCTCAAACCGACCCAACTCGTGGTTTGGAAGAATTGAGCCCCATGTTGGGGCATCGCTAGAGCCGAGCCACCCATGTGGCTCGACGAGCCACATGGATCAATTCGTGTCACGAGTCATTTTTGGCCCATAAAGAGCTGAGCTTAATAAAATAAAAAAATAAAAACAACTGCAAAATTTAAAATAATAATAATAATTATAATTATAATTATTATAATATCTACGCAGTACAACTTGCAACTATATTGTTGAAATGTAAGGCAGCTACTGCTGCTGCTTGTCAAGGTAGCAGTAGCTACTACGTAACAGGCAACTGCTGTATTCAAATTTCAAATTTAAATTTGGTTGAAATGTATATATATATATATTTTATAAATACGAGGTAAAAATTTTGAGTTTCATATCAATTTATTTCAATCATTTTTAACTTGTAGTATTCTAGTTTCAACTTCAATCTCCAATTTCTTTTATTCTAATTCAATATTTTTTGCTATACTAGTCATATAAAAATTTTATTAGTGAGATTAATTAGTTTAAGGGTAGTTCGAGTACTCCATCCGACTACGATTCATCTCAAAATGTTCCGATTGATTTGTCACTATAAAAAAAAAAAAAAGAGCCAGCTAGCCTCAGCTCGGCCCAGGTCACTAAGGCCCAAGTCGAAAGTTTGGATTGAGCCTAATTTTTTAAGGGTAAATTAGGCCTATTACCCTTTTAAATTAACTAAATTGATTAATAGCCTTTTAAAACTAATTAAACCAATTAGAACGTAAAACATAGGTTTTGATTGGTGTTTTTTCACTTTTTTAAGTATTTGTTACTTTTTGAGTTATATATCACTTTTTGAGTGTGTGCCACTTTTTTTGAATTTTGTCACTTTTTTGAGTTTTGTGTCACTCTTTTACAAAAAAGTGACAATTTTTATAAAAAAAAGTGATATTGTGTCACTTTTTTATTTTACACAGTATTTTTTACTTCCTAAAAAATTTTCATATGATTTTTCAAAACACCCTTAATTTTAAGAGTATTTTTGTATGTACCCCATTTTTTAAAGCATCCCACTCTCTTTCTACCATTAGCAGTGGGACAAAATTAATCCCATCTCTCTAGTAGAAAACTAGCAAAACATAGAGAAGAACAAAGTGAAAGAATCAACCTCATAACATACAAAATTCATGTTTAATTTTGTTCATGTTTGGTGTAGATAAAAATTAAAATTTTAAAAAAACTTAATAAAAAAAGATAAACGTATAATTAAAGTTGTACACACCATAAAATATATTATAAAAATTAATTGTTAACTTTGATTTAAATTTTTAATCTATTTTTTTTAACTGAGCCAAACAAAGTATGTCATTCTACCGTGTCCTTTACTCTTCACTAATAGCATTTGCACTAACATCATGGATATGATTGCCTTTCTAGATTCAAGTTAGTCTTATTAGCCATTTGACAAATTCAAATGAAAACTTGTTCCCTTTTGAGTTAAATATAAAATAAAACCTTGTATTATTTCAAACACGTTTTCCGTTGACGACTCACGACGGCGAAGGAATCAAAAGTCAAGCGAGACAACACTAACATACAAAACATCCATTGGACCCTTCAAATTGAAATATTGAATTCCACAAATTATTCTTTCGAAAATGGTATTTAACACAATTGATATATAACATCAGTTTATGTGACAATATTAATGACATTAAATTATAGATTCAATATAATACAATGAATTATGATCCATTGAATATGTTAACACCTAAATTGATGTTCAATACCACCAATACTAGATATCATTATTCAATCTTTCGAGTCACTTTTGTAGTTTTAGACACACCAAGGTATCGTTTGTGTCAAATATTCAGTCCAATTTGATGGGATTAAAATCAAATTTTAGTAAATTTTGATAAAAGTTAATAAATTCTTTGTTTGATATCCATTTTTCTCAAAATACAATTTTCTATTTCTTCCCTTCAACTGCACATTCTTCAATAAAATAATATTACATGTAAATCTAAAAATTTTTCCCATTTTTTAACCACACTTTTTCAATCAATCTACTATTTCAAAATGCATTCTTACTATAAAAATGAGAAAAAAAAGTGCTCAAAATATATTATTCAAAAATTGTGAATTTTATATTTTTAAAATTAATTATTGATTTTAATTTAGATTAAAATTTAGATTGAATTTTAAAATTAATTATTGACATTAATTTATATTGAAATTAATTCTAATAACAATTCACCCGTTGTCAAAAACACACAGATGAGGTGGAGAGGCAGAGGAGAGAGAGGCTATGGCGTGCAAAAGCTCGAGCTTTTAATAAAGCTCTCAAGATTCTCTGAAGTTTTATCGGCTGCTCTTTTTGTTTTTCAATTCTCTTTTCTGTAAGTTTTTTATCAGTTTCCTCTGTGTTTTGGGTTTTTTTCGTTTTTTGTTTTAATCTATTCTAGAAGGTGATTATGAAAGAGAGAGAATATTTAGGCGAGTTACCTGAGGAGAAAAACAAGGAGAGCCCAGATGACAAGATTGAGTTTCGAGAAAAGGGTATTGATTTTCTTGCAGAAAACTCACAGAAGAGAAGTAAAATGATGGGTGGATTCGATGAAAACGCTGTTAAGACAGGGAATTCTGGTTCACAGGAGCTCACGCTCAGTTACCTTTGTGAAAATTCGAAACTGGGAATGTCTGAAAAAGATATTTCGGACAAAAATCTGTTGAGTTCTTTGGAGAAATTGAGCAGTGGTTATAAAGGAAAAGAGAAATTGGTGTCTGAGGATAAAAATGAAATGAATGATAACATATGGGTAGAGAGAGATTTTCTTCAGTTGAATGATAATAGAGGGAATTCGTCTAAGAGGGAAGCTGATAATGAGAAGATTGAGGGAGAGAATGGGGTTAAGAAGCCAAAAGTCGAGTCTTTGAACCTTTCTTTGGCGTTACCTGAGGTTTCAATCTCTTTGGCTGGGTCAAACCGGATCCAAAATGATGATCTCCCAGACCGGCTGTGGCCGAGTAGGAGTGTGCAGTCGCTGGTGCCGTCTTACAACAATACGACTACTTTCTCTAATGGTTACACAGCTGCCTCAGTGTCATATTCGTATTCCCACCCTTTTTCTCACAATCCCAGTTGCTCGCTCACTCAGAATTCAACTGAGATTTTTGAGTACTCGGTTGGGAGTCACCGGAGGGAGTGTGATCAGATTTGGAACTGTGGGGAAGGGACTAATGGGTCGGTTCACAGTCGGTTTAGGCCTAGTGGGGATGGGAATGTTGTATTTTCTAATCATGAAGTTGGTGGTGGAGGTTTTGGATTGGGTAATAGTGGTAGGGTCAGTAAGGACTCATGTAATGATAGTCTTTATAAGACTACGAGCTCAGACAATCATTCTTTTTTCCCATCTGAGTTGCCAGCAAGGCCGAGGACAGATGCTCAGTCAGGTGATTTTGGAGGGCTAGGGTCAGATAGTCTGAGAGATTTGGAGAATGTCAATGGAGTTAGGGCTCGTAAGCTTTCTATGCCCGAGAAGATACTTAGAGAAATAGTATCGGAGTCCATTCCAGTAATGGCTCAGATAATTCAAGAGCTTACTGATGAAACAGTTGAATCTACTAAGGAACATTTGAAGAATCTCATTAATATGCCAGAGAGGAGAGATGAATTCGTGGGTCTCCAACATAGACTCAAAAGAAGATCCGATTTTACCAATGAGACTCTCTCAAAGTGCCACAAGAACCAACTTGAAATTTTGGTTGCAATTAAAATGGGACTTGGAAGCTTCTTATCTGGCAAAAGTCAACTTCCAACAGCGGAATTGGTGGATATATTCTTACTTCAAAGGTGCCGAAACATAAACTGCAAGAGGCCATTACCTGTTGATGACTGTGACTGCAAAATTTGTTCAGCAAAACAGGGATTCTGCAGTGAATGCATGTGTCCTGTATGTTTGAACTTTGACTGTGCCAACAACACTTGCAGTTGGGTTGGTTGTGACCTTTGTTCTCACTGGTGCCATGCTGCCTGTGCACTTCACAGTAATCTCATAAAGCCAGGTCCATGCGTGAAAGGGCATTTGGGGACAACTGAGATGCAGTTTCACTGCCTTGGATGTGGTCATGCTTCCGAGATGTTTGGGTTCGTTAAGGATGTTTTCATGAATTGTGCCAAGGATTGGGATGCCACAACCATGATAAAAGAGTTTGACTGTGTTCGGAAAATCTTTAGGGGAAGTGAAGATCACAAAGGCAAGGAGCTGCTTGTGAAGGCCGATGAGATGCTTACCAAGCTCGAGAACAAAATAATGACTCCTCCAGATGTCTGCAATTTCATTTTCCAGTTTTTCAACTGTAAGTATCCAAACCAACTTTTCTTACCCCTCCTTTGAACTAGTTGTGTTAGAAATGGAAGAAGATGAACAGTGAAAAGCGGAGAGCGTATCAATGGAGGAAAGAAATGAATATTCTCTTTGTTAAATTTACACTGAAGGAAAGCAAAATATTTATACAGGAAAGTGTGTAACAAACTAACAAACTCAATCTATTATATTGTGCCAGCTAATAAACAGATGAAGGAATAATAAATAAAATAATGGTGGTTGTTTTAGTGTTGGCCAGTATCTATTAACACCCCCCCGCAAGATGGAGAATAGTAATTTACTATTCCCATCTTGGACAAGTGTGCTTGAAGAAGATAGGATGGTAGAGCTTTTGTGAATATATCGGCCAGCTGTGCTTGAGAGGAAACATGAGCTGTTGTGAGACTTCCTTCCTGAATTTTGTCACGGATTAAGTGACAATCAAGCTCTATATGCTTGGTACGCTCATGAAAAACCGGATTGGCGGCTATATGAAGGGCGGCCTGGTTGTCACAGTGGAGAATGGCAGCTTGCGGATGAGGAATGCTAAGATCATGAAGAAGATATCGAAGCCAAGTAAGTTCTGAACAAGTAGTAGCCATGGAGCGATATTCGGCTTCAGCAGATGATCTAGAGACTACGGTTTGCTTCTTAGATTTCCAAGAGATAAGTGAGTGACCAACAAAACACAATAGCCAGTTGTAGACAGGCGAGAGTCCGGGCAAGTGGCCCAATCCGAATCACAAAATGCTATAAGCTGAAGCTAAGATGAAGATGACAGTAAAAGGCTTTGAGCTGGGGCATGTTTAATATACCTTAAGATGCGGTAAGTTGCTGCCAGGTGAGAAGAAGAAGGCTGATCCATGAACTGGCTCAATAACTGGACAGGAAAACAAATATCAGGGCGGGTTATTGTGAGGTATAATAACCGGCCAATAAACCTTCGAAAAACATTAGGATCAGGCAGTGTAGTCCCTTTAGATTTGCTGATTTTGAAGTATTGATCCATAGGAAGTTTAAGTGGTTTGCAACCAAGCATACCCGAATCCGCCAAGATGTCTAAGGCATATTTCCTTTGACATATGTGAATACCTTTGGAAGATCTAGCAACTTCTAAACCCAAGAAATAACGAAGACAGCCAAGATCTTTAATCTGGAATTTGCTATTCAGAAAATCTCTTAGAGAAGCAATAGAGTCATTAGAACTGCTAGCAACCAGAAAATCATTAACATAAATGAGCAAAGCAGTGAAATTGTTCCCTTCATGCTTGGTGAATAAGCTGTAATCAGATTTGGATTGAATAAAGCCAAAAGCAATGAGGGAAGAGGTGAGTTTAGAGTTCCATTGTCTTGCGGCTTGCTTTAGGCCGTAAAGGCTTTTGAGTAATCTGCATACTTGTGTTGGCTTACCCTTGGTGTAACCTGGGGGTTTTTTCATGTAGATTTCTTCATGTAAATCACCATTAATGAATGCATTATTTACATCAAATTGATGCAAATACCATCCTTTGACGGCTGCTACACTAAGGAGACATCGAACGGTAACAAGTTTGGCAACGGGTGAAAAAGTGTCAGTATAGTCGATGCCTTCTTGTTGGGTGTAGCCTTTAGCTACAAGTCTAGCCTTAAGTCTCTCAATAGAACCATCAGACTTGAATTTAATGCGATAGACATATTTACAATCAATTGCAACTTTCCCTTCAGGCAAATCAGTGATGGTCCAAGTATGATTGTTTTCCAAAGCCTCAATTTCAGCATCCATAGCTTTGCACCAAGCAGGATTTTTAAGTGCTTGCTTATATGATGTGGGCTCAGTTTGAATGGAAACAGAGGATGAGAAAGCTTGAAATGAGGGATTAAAGTGTTTGTAGGATAAACAGGTAGAGTGAGAGAAGTGTTTACCATTGAAATCAGGAGCTGCAGGGGATGTGGATTGATGAGGGGAGACAAGTGTGACCTGTTTGCAGGGAAATTCCTTCAGATATTGACGGGCTGTCCTGCTTCTGGTTGATCTTCGAAGTGACTGGCCAGCAGGAAGAGAAATGGAAGAAGGAGATGGGGAAGAATTGGGAGGAGGAGAGGGTATATTAGGATGTTCAGGAGAAATAGTGAGAAGGTTGGGGGGTGAGGAAGAAGGAATTATGTGACTGGTGGGGAGTGGATCAGAAAAATTAGGAGGAGGAGTAAATGGAATGGAGAAAAGGGGAAGAGATGGGGCTGTGGAGGAAGGAGAAGGAGGTGTTTGAAAAGGGAAAATAAATTCATGAAAAATGACATCCCTTGAAATGAAGATTGTGTTAGTTTTGAGATCCAAAAGCTTATAGCCTTTAGTTCCAAAAGGGTAACCAAGAAAAACACATGCACGACCTTTATGATCAAATTTTGTCCTGTTATGAGCAAGTGTGGCAGCAAAGCAAAGGGAACCAAAGACTTTCATGTGAGCATATTCTGGTTTCTTGTTAAAAAGAAGTTCATATGGGGTTTTGTTAGTGAGAAGGGGTGAAGGGAGCCTATTAATGATGTATGTGGCTGTAAGTATGGAATTATTCCAGTAAGTTAATGGAAGACCAACTTGAAAAACGAGGGCAAGGGCCACATTTAATAAATGTTGGTGCTTCCTCTCAACAACGCCATTTTGTTGAGGGGTTACAATACAACTTTTGTGATGAATAATGCCTTTTTTATTGAAAAAATCATGCATTTTAAACTCAACACCATTATCACTTCTCAGAATTTTTATTTTCATTTGGAATTGTGTCTCAACAAGATTGTAAAAGGCTGTAATGCAATTTCTGGTTTCAGATTTTGCAGCAAGTAAATAAATCCAGGCAGTTCTAGAGAAATCATCAATAATGGTCAAGAAGTACTTCGAGCCATCATGAGCAATAGTGGAGCAAGGACCCCATAAGTCGCAATGAATGAGCTAAAAAATCCTTGTTGAAGAATGTGTACTGTTAGGAAAAGATAAACGATGAAACTTAGCTAATGGACAAATTTCGCAAGATTTTTCATTAACAGGTGAAATTCCTGTGTGTACAAGAGGATCTGAAATTAATTTTAACCTAGAAAATGATAAGTGACCTAGGCGATAATGCCATAGGTCAGTATGTGAGATAGTTTTGGTAACAGAAGTAAAACAAGATAAAATGTTGTTGTTGTTGCAGGAGTATGCCGAGAGAAAGGTAGATAAAGCTGAGGGAAGGACTTTCTTGCAAAGGAAATGGTACAGGCCACACTTGAGCTCACCCATCCCAATCGTTATCCATGAGTGCAGGTCATGAATAAAACAGTGAGTGGAAAAGAAAAACAAACAACAATTTAGGATAGAGGTTAGTTTGTTTGCTGAAATAAGGTTGAAGGAGAATGAATGTAAACAAAGGACATCATGCAAAATGATAGAATCTGTTAAGTGAATTGTTCCCATGTGTGTAACAGGGGCAGAAAGACCATTAGGTAGTTTCACAAAATAAGAAACAATAGACGTAATGGTGGAAAAAAAAGTGGTGCTGCAGACCATATGGTCTGTAGCGCCTGTGTCTAGTATCCAAGCAGTAGATGATGAATATAGTGAGCATGGTGTGTGAGTAGACAGAGAGGTGGAAGTACCAGACATTTTGGAAGATGGAGAAGGGTTGCTGTAGTGGACAGCTGAAGCCATAATTGAAGAATCCTGAGGTCTGATTAATGACATTAGTTGCTGATATTGTTGCTTGGTTAAACCAACTTTGGCATCATTGTTGTCTTCTGGGTCAGAAACAAATGGAAGAGATGCCTGATTTGCAAGAAAACTAGATTGTTGCTGCGGTTTGTTATGGTATTTGTGGCCAGGTGGGTATCCATTGAGTTTGTAGCATTTCTCAATGGTATGGCCAGTCATGTTGCAATGTGAGCAAAGAGGAGGCTCAGCATTGCCAGCCTTGAAGCAAGTCTCGAAAGTGTGACCAGCGATTTTACAGTGGCGACAATAGGGACGGTCTTTCTTTTGAAGATGGTTTGATTTGGGTGTGCTTTTGGAAGAAGTGTAAGGTTTCTGGATAGCCATAGCCATGGTCTCTGGTGAGGGAGTGCGAGAGGCTATTTGGTAGTGTATTTCCTGTTATTGGACAAGGGAAAATTTTTTGAGATAGGTGGAATGGGGTCTAAGATCATAATTTGGTCTCTGATTGGAGAGTAGGAGTCATTTAGACCCATCAAAAATTGCAGCACACAATCTCGCTGAGATCGATCCAGTAAGGTTTTCATAGAGCCACAAGTACAAGAAGGAATATGATCATAGAGAGATAATTCGTCCCAGATGGCTTTCAATTTTCCATAATAAATGCTTACTGGATCATGCTCTTGAAACAGAGCAGCTAAAGCCTTCTTCAGTTGGTATTTCAAGGGCCATTTTGGTGCGAGAATCGTTCCTGGAAGTCCAGCCAGATCTCACGAGCATCATCATCAAAAAGAACACTGGATTGGAGGGAGAAGCTGATAGAGTTCTGAAGCCAAGAAACAATCATATCATTGCAACGCTCCCAAAGCTCAAACAACGGATCAGTGGGTTTGGTGATGGATCCGGTGATGAAGTCGAGTTTATTTTTCGAGCGAAGTGCGCTTCGCGTTGAGCAAGACCATGTGGCATGGTTGTCTGTGGTAAGGGGATCAGCAACAAGGGTTAGGGTTGGGCTGTCGCCATGGTCAAGCCGGTATGGGTTTGCTGGATCAAGAAGATTTAGGTATGGAGAAGCGATTTGGGTTTTTGGGTTAGAAGGAGAATCAGCAGAGGCGGTGTCGTAAGTTGCCATTGTAGGTGCTCTCAATGCTCTGATACCATGTTAGAAATGGAAGAAGATGAACAGTGAAAAGCAGGGAGCGTATCAATGGAGAAAAGAAATGAATATTCTCTTTGTTAAATTTACACTGAAGGAAAGCAAAATGTTTATACAGGAAAGTGTGTAACAAACTAACAAATTCAACCTATTATATTGTGCCAGCTAATAAACAGATGAAGGAATAATAAATAAAATAATGGTAGTTGTTTTAGTGTTGGCCAGTATCAATTGACAAGCTGTTCCTTGCAATTGTCAAATTTCTTCTGAAGCAAACTTTTTCATTACTAAAGATGTGATTTCTTTCGCTTTCACTTGTTCTTCTAAAATGCTTTACTGCAATTGTGTATGTTCATTTATCTCATTTATTTCATAGAGGATGGCATGATCCCTTGTAAGTTAATGAGGTTCTCAAAACAATTATTTGCATTAAAATGAAAAAAAAATAGGGATTTTTCTGTGGTACTTGAAAATCAGATATATTAAATGTCATGTACGGCAAACAATGCTATTTCAATTACACAAAAGGTGGTGGATGGAAAATTTGTTGCAACTTCTGGATATTAAGATGTTTAAGTCGATCAATGATGAGACAAAATGAAATAAGAACATAGTCTGTGCTCAAGATCTACATAGCTTATAGTAGACTGATGACTGGTGAATGGGAAGAAATGGATATTCAAACTCTCTCTCTCTCTCTCTCTCTCTCTCTCTCATATTAGGTGTACTATCAGTTTTATGAATAAATAATGTGAAGTTTTGAAGTTAGATCATGACATTTCAACTTTAGCCATTATATTTAGCTATGCAAGATGGAATTAGATGACAATGTTATAAGCTTGCGAACAATGTATGTTGAAGTATGACATTGGCACTCAGATAGAATGTTTAATTAGGAAAAATATCCATAGCTGGCGCTGCCCCAAGAAAGAATGAGTCGAAATTTATAGGTAGTCTTTTCACATCTTGCTTGAGAAGCTGTAAATGTGGCTTGGTGTTTAATTGGAATTCTGAATTTGTTAAATAATTCTACATATCTTGTATTGATTAATTTTCAATTCTTCCTGAAATTTTCATGTCTGAATTTCTTTTGAAATGACAATGTTCCTCTTCCTCTTGTTAATATTAGCGAAGGACCGAATGAAATCCTTCCTTTTTGCTTTTTATTTGATAGATACGGATGGCTTGTTCGAGTCTGATGCTTTAAACGTTCTTTCAAAAGATTTGACCAATCAGTCGTCCCTCGGAAAAGATGCTTCTGTTCTTCAACTGTCCAGCTCTCACGCTCCAAAAACTTCATTCTACAATACGAGCACTTCAAGTGGACAACAGGAGCTGATGCCAATCGATCTCCATCAGAATGACATTAACTTTCCTCTCATGAACAATAAGATAATCGAAGATGAGTGGTCTGTGAAGCCAGCGAAGAAAGTTGGTTTTGACAGCTTGGAAAATCTTGTACGCATTAAAGAAGCAGAAGCAAGGATGTTCAGGGGCAAAGCTGATGAGGCACGAAGGGAAGCAGAGAGTTTCCGGAATATAGTCAGAATGAAAACCGAGAAATTGGAACAAGAGCACGCTGAGAAGCTAGCAAAACTGTGTTTGCAGGAGACAGAAGAAAGGCAGAGGAAAAAACAGGAAGAACTTAAGGTATTAAAGAATTCACATTGTGATTACTACAACATGAAGTTTAGAATGCAATCCGAGATTGCAGGCTTGTTGAAGAGAATGGAGTCCACAAAGCAGCAGTTAGTTTAACCCTTCTTTTGGAATGACATTGATTGCAATGTTTTGGGTTTCTGAAACCTAACTTGCATGGTTTTAATTTTTTTTAAATTTTGTATTTTTCCATTATAAATTTAACTTATCTAGTACTTTTAAATTGCCTATTGTTTCAATTTCCAGTGCCACCTTTCATAAGTTGAACTCGATTTTGTCCTTCAGGCGCGTTCTTGAGCATTTTTAGTTTTTCGTTGCCCAGCCGTTTATCCAATTTTGTGACTGGGATGAATGCTGATGACTATTCTAGATTCCATAATGTGCTTCAGCTTGTATCATTTACTCCAACCATATTGTGGTTTTACTGTACTTAAAAAATTTCGTCACTGTAGAAGCCGAGGTTCGTAAGGGCGATTTGGCTCACTTTATCCCTATGTTGATCAATATTTTATATTGTGTCGTATGGTCATCATGTAGATTCTGCTTGATCAATCTTGTCATTGATTGATTTGCTCCCCAATGGTCACCAGTTCGAATCCCCTCAGGGCAATTGAAGTGAGGACTCGACCGTAAACTTCAGGGTCTCGTGAGATTAGTCGAGGCGCACATAAGTTGGTCCGAATATCCACGGTTATTAAAAAAAAAAAAAAACCTTTGCCATTGATTTCCGTAGATAAAAAATTAATTTTAGGGACTAATATGTAAACATTTAAAATTTAGTGGCAACGTACGAGGACACAAACATCCTAAGTTAAGAGATTGCTCAGGGAAAAATAAAAACGAATGGGAACGTAAAGCGCCAAAAAGGGACAGAAGGTCAGTAGTTCCCGCCAGGGAATAAATTGATCGGCTAAATTCTCAGGAAACAGTTCGGAGAAAGCTGAAATGAAAGGTTCATCTTCTTCCTCAAGAACCCTAATGGACTTGTTTAAGCCACCAGCAGCAAAGCGTCTTAAGATACTCTCTTCTCCTCCCCTTTCACCGCCATCTGCATCATCAAAGGACGCATCTTTATTGTCAGCCTCAACCCTCACATCGGAGGAGAAATTAAAAATGGAATTCAACAAAGCCCTTGCCAAATCCAAGAGGAACCTCAAACGCTGCTCCGATGTAGTCTCCAAATCCACTTCCAAAGGTTAAAATGTCTTCTTATTTCTTTATTTATCTTTTTTTTCCTTAACTCGGTGACGTTCGAAAGAATTTTTGGGGGAAAAATTTCTGCCCGTTCAAGTTTTGGAGTGTTTTTCCTATTTACTTATTCATCAGTTGTTGACCTGGGCCCATATGAATATGATGAAACCCATGATAGATTTTTGAAATTTGATGGGAATAAAATTGGGTGTGCGTAGGGTGTAGTATTAAACATTTAATTAGTTCTTTCTCCTCTGTTTTCCATCTAAAGATACGTACATTTCCACATTCTAGCTTCATTCTCCGATGCATGGAACAATGCTAAACTTCCTTTCGGGGGGGGGGGGGGGGGGGCATGGCCCCCATTGGCCCCCCCCCCAATTTTTAGGGGGGGGGGGGGGGGGGGGAGGCATGGCCGCCATTGGCCTCTGGTTAGCTCCGCTGCTACATGTTAAAGTGATCTTATTGTTTAGATTATCATTTGGTATCCTTATTTGTTCTTTTTATCTTAACAATATACTTGAATGCATGCAAATAGGTATCGATGGAGTGGGGTATGTAAAATTGAAGGAGCTGTTGGTGGAGGAGACGTGGTTGGAAGTGCTTCCAGGTGAGCTTGAAAAGCCATATGCGGAGAAGTTGTGTAAATTTGTGGAGAGCGAAATAAGTTGTGGCAGCGTGCCGATTTATCCTCCTCCGAATCTGATCTTTAATGCACTTAATACCACTTCATTTGACCGAGTTAAAGCTGTTATCATTGGACAGGTACATTCTGCTTGTATTAGAAACAAAAACCTTCTGGCATATCTTAGTACACATTTGATAATAATGAGAGAATATATTTCAGCCATTATCTATTAATATCATGTATTAGATAATTCTATGATAGATAGAAGTTATTATTGCTGTTGGGCCTAGTTGTCTTCATCAATAATATCCTTACAAAGTTCTGGGCTCTTTTCTGTTTGACATTACTTGAGAAAAATGTAAAGTCTTGATGAGTATATACTTTTCTATTTTAGCTACTTCGTTCCACTTTCGTGGTTTTGCCTTTTTACCGGTTAGAGGACCAATTATGTTCTTGTTTGTTCCAATTTTCTGAATTTTCAGCTTGCATTCTCACTTGATCCGTTCAATCTATTAATGTCATGTCTCTTGTGCAATTTCTTTGTGAGTTCTTGGACAGGAACTGCAATGTAACTCGAGTTTAAAGATTTTGGATTTGTTCGAAAGTACATGATGCTCTGTTTTACATTATGACAGGACCCATATCATGGACCTGGTCAGGCAATGGGTCTCTCTTTCTCTGTAGCCAATGGCGTGAAGGTCCCTTCAAGTCTTGTAAACATTTACAAGGAACTGCAACAAGATTTAGGCTGTTCAATTCCCTCTAGTGGGAGTCTGGAAAAATGGGCAGTACAGGTAATTGGTCCATCTCCTGGTGTTTGTATATATTTTTGTCCCTATTTTGACAGCTAACAGGCACGCGGTTCTTCTTGCCTGTAACTTAACAAGTGCCAAGCTCTTCTAGCCTGTCATCTTGTGAAGTTGGCATTTACTTTTCCTTCTATTCTGGGTTTACTTATTTGCAACAAGTTTGATTTTGGTAATTGTGCTCTATATAAATCTGCCGAAACAAACCTAATTATGGAAGATTGTATTGAGTTGTCTTGTCTGCTAAACCTAAAAGTAAAGAATTATGTGCTGTTGTAGGTTAATTGTAGTTTGGTCAATTGTGTAGTCCATTGTACATATAACTATTTGACTAATAAAGTTGTGTTGTAACTAAGTGTGTATATGAGTATAAATACTACACAATATAAGTTTCATTTGCTCATTTTCTATAAAATTCTAGAACTCTCTACGAACCCTAGTCCTCTTTCTTCATGGTTTCTATCTCATGGGATCAACCAAATTCAATGGATTAGTAAATGAACAAGTTCAATCTTTGTCGAGCTCGAAAAATTAAAAGGTTGAACTCTAAATTATCACATTTGACTCTTGCTCTATTTAACACAAAGTCAAGATCTTGCCAATTTATTTTTGTAATAATTATAATAGCTTTATAACATTGATCTCCCTGAAAAGTGATTATTGATTCCAGAACCTTTTGATTTTTTAATTCAATTAATTTAGTTAGCTGCATGCTCGAGAGTGACAAACATGTGTTGCCATTTATATGAATGAGGCGACATTAAAATTATTGACAATTTAGAGACATCTTGGAAATGAATTGCATGTTTTGATGGAGATTGTGTTGGAAATTTAATTATAGGCATGCAAAAATACACATTTGTTTTAGGTGTAAAAATAAGAAAACAGGTTCTTTTGTATTCTGGTTCATTTCATACCATATTTTTTTAGTTTAAACAATAAAAATAATAACAAATTAACCTTTATTCTCCGTATATCCGCCACTTGAATTCTTCTTTTCCATTCTTTTTCTAGGGTTTCAACTATTTTTGGCCACAATATTTGAGTTCAAGTTGGATGAACTTCACTTTCACGTGACTGTGTGAGGAGCCTTTGACGGTGCGGAAGGCATAGGGAGTGTTGCTCTCAGTATAGTTAGTAGTAGAAGGTCCAAAAATGATGTCCTATATTTTTGATTTTCATTTATTCTTTTTCCTTTTTCCATTCCTTTTTTCCCATTTCACCTTTTATTGTTTATTATAGAAATTATTTATATTTTAACCATTTACCCTCACAATAATGCCTCACGCCTTGCATGTCATTTTAATAGTCAAATTGATGGTTTCCACCTATAAGGACGAATTGTACAACAATATTTAAAGGTCAGAGACTAAGTTGCTAAACTTCGTATGTTGGGGACCAATTTTTCAATTATCCCCAAAAGAAAAGCAAACACCTATAACTCACTTGAGCCTTGATATGCAAAAGTAACTTGTCAAAATCATACTTGGGAATGCCATACTAACCGCTTCTCATTTAAACATTGGATTGAATTCTAGAGTCTTGACCTACAAAAATTCAATGGCTTTGTGTTGTCAATTTTATTTATTTATTTTGCTTTGATGCTTTCTCCTGATCCCACCTAAATTTTTTGAAATTGTCATTAATAGAAACTTGACTCTAGAGTGCTAAAATATATTTTCAATGATTTTTTGTCAACAAAGAAGGGTTATAATCGCTACCACCTACCACCCAGCCTGCAAGAAGTTTTATATGTCTTCGCATGTTACTTTGTTGAAAACCATTTCTACTGTATTGAATCTTATCTTTTTGTACCTATGAATTAGTGCTGGGTGTAAAAGAGGTTTGAATAAGGTTGCTGGTTGTATTGTTATGTCTAGTTTGCTTGTTGCTAATTGTGCTGGGCTAGTCATATCTTTGCTTGATTATGAAAATATCTGAATCAATTTTAATGCATATCAAACATACTGTTTCTCTTAAGAAGCAGTTCCATGATGTTGATACAGTGATATTGCAGGGTGTTCTCTTGCTAAATGCTGTTCTCACTGGTATGTTCATTTCTTTTCATTTATACTCTGAACTTCAGATTTCTTTAAACTCTTTTGTTATATTTTCTTGATGTGCCTTATTTTCACAAGATTAAGTGAAGCAACAAGCTGCCTTTTCCTGCAGCTCTAAAATTTCAAATTTAGTTGGAGATGTTAACATAGGTTGGACAGTAAGTCTGGCATTTTCAAAGATGTCTTGTTTCCTGGATTTTAGTTTGAGAGAAAGGACTCTGCAAGTCACTTAAAGATAAATTTTGGTAGTCGATTATTGATCCCATAGCTTAATTTTCTTCTCAAGTTTTTTAGTTTACATGAGAGCTCTTCTATTTTCATGTTTATGTTTGACTCTATTGTATTCTCTTGCTTTGTAACTTATTTTTCAGTTAGGCAACATCAGGCAAATTCACATGCCAAAAAGGGATGGGAACTATTCACTGATGCTGTCATTGAAACAATTTCACAGAAGAAAAGAGGGGTTGTTTTTCTTCTTTGGGGAAACTATGCCCAGGCAAAAGCCAGGTACTTTCCATTACTAAACACACTTGATTCAGACTTTCAGACTTTGAAGTTTCTTATGGTATTTGTAGTCTGTTTTAAAACGTTTGGCTCATCTAATGTCACATCAATTAGATACAAACTTGTGAGTTTCGCAAAAGAAACTAGCAAAGTTCATTTATGTAAAATGTCTCACACGTTAGGGAAAAATCTTACATGAAAATCATTAAAACAAGTGGACATGATCTGTAGGAAAAAAATTCAAAGTTACCTTGCAAAAGCATGGGATATGAACTTCGGTATATGGATGATGAATAGATTAGAGATGGCAAAGGAGTAATTATTCAATTGAATAAAGATGAGCAGTAAAAGTGGACGGTAGTAGGGTTTTCTTAGCCAGACATTTTTTAAGACATTGGTTTATTAGTGCTGTTATCATGTATGCTTTGCAAATAGAATTTGATTAGCGACAAAGGAACAATTCTGGGAAGATTTGTATGAGCGTGTTCATGCAATCCCTAGTTCAGATAAGATATTTGTTGGAGGACATATGACAGGTTGCATGGGAAGTAGGAAAACGTAACTGAAGTTAGAGAGCATGTGGGAACCTTGGCTTTTGGATCAAAATTGAGGCAACACTGTCTTGGACTTTTGGGATAATTTATCATTTGATGTCAGTGAATACATGCTATAAAAACAAAGACTCTTGTCGAAATAAGCAAAGTGTGTTAAGATAGATTTCATCCTTCTTGAATGTGGATAGGTAATTAGGCAAGGATTGTGAGGTAATTTTTAGTGAGAGCATAACTGTACGACACATTTGATGGTGCTTGATGCGATTACTATGAGATTAAAAAGAGTTTTGAGTTCATAGTACAAGGTGGTGGAACTCATGGTGTGAAAGACAAGTCATTTTCAAGGAGAGTTTTAAAGAAATGAAAAAAAGAAAGAAAGAAAAGAAAAGACGTAGACAAGTAGAATGGGGTGGCTAATTGTATTCCAGACATAGTGGAGGAGATACTAAAGATTCTTAAGGGTAGAACCCATCTAATGAAGATAGTAGTGGAACAAGGAGGAGATTAGGTGACAATTAAGGCTAAAAGTGAAATCTATATATACTTAATCCAAGTATAATTTACAAGATGTCTTGATAAAAGGAGAAGAGTAGAGATCTTAACCAAGCTGATTGTATTAAAGATCAAACTGAGGAGGTCAGGAACACATTGAAAAATCTCATATATTTGTTTAACGTAGACTGGGTGACTTTTCATGTCCAAACATGATCACATGTAATCCCCTTGTGGGGGTATTATCGGCGTTTCGTTAAGGGATTTTCAGATATTGTCATTCCACTGACTCAACTGACTCTGGAAGGTGTACCTTTTAACTGGGTCAAAGGCATGTGAATACAGTTTCCAGGAACTTAAAGATAAGTTGATTACAGCCCCGGTACTAGCAATTCCGTCAGTCTGAAAGATTTGTGGTGTATGGTGTCGCCTCAAAAAATGGACTTTGGATGTATTTTGATGCAAAATGTTATGGTCATTGCCTATGCTTCATGCCAGTTGGAGTATGAAAAGTCAATTACCCTACACACAATTTGGAATTAGCAGCTATGGTGTTCGCGTTAAAGACCTGGAGGTATTATCTCCACAGGAAACATCGTGAAATTTATAAGGATCGTAAGAGTTTAAAATACTCCTTCACCTAGAAAGAGCTAGAGCTGAACATGCGACAAAGGCAATTCTCAAGTTTGTTAAAGATTATTACTGCATTATTTATTATCACTCTGGAAAAGCGGACATTGTAGCCAACGCCCATAGTCGAAATGCCCCTGCAAGTCCAAACATGATCACATTACACATGACACGTAAACCAACCGCCAATGACCAAATGGAGATGCTTTTGACAAAGAACTTACCTAAGAGCTCTTCTGTTGCATTGACAGTGCAACATCTGACATTCCACATTACTCCACTTCTCCTGACCTTCCCATCGAAGATATTAGCAACTCACTCCCTATTGACAGCAACAATTAACTAACCCAATAAGTCTGGAATGGATTATGTGAATACTTTTTTGCCACTCATTCTGTCCATAGTTGTAACTACTGGAAGATCTAATACATTTGCATCCTTCGTGACCAGTCTACAACATTCTATATTTATTTTGTTGTAGCTATTCTGATAGCATAACCCTTGACTGGAGCAAGATATGGTCCAGCCACGTAAGATGTTCTCTATTTTATCCTCAAGTGGTGTCATCTTCACTTGTTGGCAAATATTCTCATTTATTATTTTATTTGTTTTAGCATGGTCATGAATCTAACTTAACATCTTTTATGCAACATTCATCTTTTAAACATTGTATACTTTAAAAGTCCGGTAACCATTTGGTAGACCTTGCCTTTAAACTTACAGGTATTTTCCTATCATGTAAAATGTCCGCAACACTTCTCAATTTTCATCCAACCTACTCTAATCCTGAAGATAGCAACTGAAATAATGAAATCCATTCGGAAATTCAAGGAACTTACTCCTTTACTTTGTTTCACTTCATCATAAGCTAAATAATACAAAATCAAAAAACGTGTACCTTTTGAGTACTGAATGCTTTGTAGAACATGACAAAGAATGTAAGGTTGGAAAACCTGGCTGTAGTTAAAGAAAGATGGTCGAGAAATGGAGGACTCAAGTTAAAAGACAAAGAAAGCTGATCTGAACATCAGTATGAAGAGAAAGAAGTGAAAAGAAGTTAGAAAGTTGGGAAAGAAAGATGGAAGAAGCTATTTAATCAGTGCAGGCATTTAGTTATCATACTGTTTTTATGAATGTATCAATTTTAGTGCCAGGGTCTCGTGTTGAACCAAAGCTGCATTTGGGTCAATTTCATCGAATACCCAAAAGGGTGTGCCGTGAGGATGAGCCTCCCGCTGATTTTGAATGAGTTTTTTCCCTATTGAGACAAAGAATCATGCTAGTTTAGTTTTTTGGTCAAGATTTGCGTCATACAATAAACATAGAGGAACAATTGTCTTGATCAAGAATGATCCACCAATCACTGGGAAACTTCTGGATAGCTGTACAAAGGGGTTGCATATAAAGAATTAGTTTGCCAAAACTGAAAAGTTGTGTTGTAATACAGAAGGGGAAGATAATATATAATTAAAAGCTTCGTTGACTACAATTTCAATTTGAAAAAATATACCATATGCTAGTGCAAATATAGTTCTGTATTAATTTTTTTTATCGAAAATTATGTGCATAAATCTGCTTGGCCAGGGCCACATGAAGCAGATCAAAAATTATGTAGTCTATGCAACTGATCTACTGTGAATATCTGAAATAAAGTTTGTAATTTAACTATATTCTTTATGTTTGTATTGAGTATAAAGTTCATATTCCCCCTCTGCCTGCTGCCACGTCCAGAAGCTTCTCTTCCCATTTTCCCTCTGCTCAGGGTCCCTCATCCCCCTCTTCACCTTTCTTCAGGTCCAAACGTTCCCACTTTGCAGTGTTCTACTGTTTCCCTCCACCATTTCCTCCACTGGACCTGGCCTCCCATATAGCAGATCTTACTCGAATTATGTTTATGTCCATGAATCACTGACGGATATAAGTGAATATTATATGTTCCGAAATTGAAATTAGCGATTGTATTGTTTGATGCATCTAAACGAAGATGTGGTACAGGTTGGTCGATGAGACAAAGCACCATGTTCTCAAAGCTGCACATCCTTCTGGTTTATCTGCAAACCGGGGCTTCTTTGGATGCAGGTTTGTCTTATTGGCCGCCTATTTTGATATTGATTGCATATCATGTCCTGCAAGAATATCACCACTCAGAATTTATGAATTTGAACTTCCACACTTGTTTATAACATTCTGTTCCGTTGCCTAAACAAAATAAATAAAGTGGTTCATACAAATATGGAACTTCTGAATGGATCATGTTGGAATTTAGCTTACTGTTATCTGATTGCATATACTTATTTCTAGGATGTGTTTATTTTGTCTGTGTATATAGTAATTTGGTATAGGTATCATGTTTTGTTGCTGCTAATTTCAATTTCAACTCTATGTTCAGGCATTTTTCTCGTACAAACCAGATTTTGGAGAAAATGGGGACCTCTCCTATAGATTGGCAATTATAATTCAGAATCCTCTAGGGTGGGAATGAATTCAGGGTTTTGGAGCAAGCCCGTCCATCTTGTATATTTTTGCAGTTTCTACTCCTGATTTATTTTGATCAGATGGCTGAGATAAATTTATTTCCAGGTACAATGCTTGCATATAGATTGACCGTGTATGCTACTATGCTTTAGCATTCACATAACATTGGTATGTACTAGTGTTTTAAAAAGCTTCCCTAGGCTCAAAGTTCGGGCAAAACGTCTTGTTTCGCGCCCGGATCCTTTTTTTCAAGTCTTTTATTTGATTTAAACTTATTAATTTTTTTTTATTTTTAACAAACTTTTCATTTGACTTTAATTTTAAGTTTTTAAAAGATTTTATTTGTACAAAAGTTAAAAATGATTTTATCTAAATAATTAAATAAGATTTAAGTTATGTTACTATCTATATTATGTAATTATAGTCTTGAGATTCATTATTTTGTTGTAAACTTCAAAAACATGTATAAAGTTTCTATAAATTTATTAAGTATGACTTGTCTAGTTAAAAATTAAAACTATGAAAAATATTCGATTTTTTGTATTTCGAAAATTTGAAAATTGTATAATTGACTAATTGTAGAAATTATTAAATAGAGAACACAGGTATATATTTGATTGCTATTAAAGAAGTAACCCGATGGGGCATGACTCAAACCATATAAGGTCATGTTAGGTTGCATGTCAAATGAACTCGATGAGTTCACTTTGGGAATTAACGTTGAAATAAATGACATGACCCATCGAAATTAGGGATGACAAAATGGCTCGTCGGCTCGGGCTTGGCCTGGGAGCCTAAATTTTTCTCAAAAAATTTAGATTTGTCACAAATTAAAGAAAAAAAATCAAGCTGGCTCGAGTTGAGCTTAAATTTTTTGGTGGAGATTTTGTTTGGCTCGGCTTGGGTCAAAAAAAGCTCGAACTATTTTTACTCGAGCAAAAAGTTTCGACTCGACTCTTGACACTTATTGAACTTTATATTATGTATGTACACATAAATTCGTTAACTATGGGTCGATAATATAATATGGAAAATTTGAAATAAATGAATAAATTTCATGTTTTCATTTAATATAAAAATACGAGGAATGTTATATGTACAACACTTAGATTACAACATTGGAAGACAGCCTCTCACAAAGGGGGTGTGGCCCGCGATCTCCCCTTGTGAAAGATTGTCATCCAATGTTGTAAGCAGTTGTACAAGGAGAATTATTCTAAAAATATATAACTACAAAATCGCACTAATTCCAATAATATACTAATGAAAAGGCAAATATCCCCCACCATCAACGATCTAAAGAGGTGATGTGGACACTTCGTGCTTTAGCCCTTTTTATCTTACGAAATTTTGGCCACCAGATTATCCTTTGAAACTAATCCAATCTAGCATCACCTTTTTATTTCGAGTCTAGGTGACATGTTTATAATTTGTTTATAAATATTTAAATCACTTTCTATTCGAAGGATTTAAAAATATTATTCACTTTTTTCCTATATATTTATAATTTAAACGTGTATAATCACTTCAGAAACATGATTTAGCCCCGTTTGGTTCCCATTTGATTTTTTAAAAAAATAATTTTTAATAACACATTTCATAAAATTCACAATTTTTTTTATCAATTTTTAGCTAAACCAAATAAGGGCTCGAATAAATAAATGTGGTACACTGTATATCAATTGTAATTTTGTTGATGTTAGCCAATTGTAGAAGATGGACAAAATGGATACTAATATCTACAAGTACTAAAGATCGAGGACCATTGCTGCAAATGTTCTCTCAGTCTTCAACATTCCTCCATCTCTGTCAGCTCGACTGATACCTGGCAGCAAAAACCTTCCCCCAAAAACATACAGCAAAATACCAAAACCAAATCTTCTTCTATGCATACACCCATGTGTCTGCACAGTAATAATGATCAATGATAACGATGATGATGCATCAGCATCAGACGGCACCTGTTACTTCTTCACATCAACACCATCATATCAATTCTGCTCCTCCTTCTGTTAGGTCACCCCACCAGCTGCCTTCGCCTACCCTTTTTACTCTAGACTCCAATGGACCCGCCAGGATTCGACTCTCTGACATTTTGCCCTATGATGGGGCCCCCGTTGGGTCCTACACTAAGGCCGTTGATGCCTTGTCGGGTTCCCTCATGAGGCACAACGCCGCCGTTATCGAGCTTGGCACTGCTGACATGGCCCTGATCCGCTGTGCCCTTGAGGCTTCCCGGTTCTACTTTCGGACTCGGTCCCAGAGTGGTAAGGGTGGTCGAGGGGTTTATATGTACCGGGCTGGAAGGTAATTTTTCGAATTCCACTCATGGCGGAATTACTTTGTTTATAATGAACCCACTTTCTCACATTATCGAAAAATAAAGATTCGAGGGAAAAATTCGGAAATGTGGGAAGGAATACCAACATCTCATAATTGTTGTCTTATGTTTCAATTGTTGTAACATCTAAAGAACTGCTGCCGTGAACTTCTTTCAGAGGAAAATCCAGTGAAACAATGCTATTATTTTTATGGCCTGAATAATTTGCTTTAAGCTCAACTTGATTGATTTCTAACTTCACAATAAGTTACTCTTAGGCAATAAAGAAGCAAGAAACAAATAGTAGTAGATTGTAAAGATGTAGTAGAGGCAACCCTTGCCATATACTTTAGCTGGAGGCTCCCTGAGGGGACGTATATGCAGCCAACTGAGGTGAAATAACAAGTAACTCTACTAACTTTTAACATTAAGGTGAGAAAGAGAACAGAGCAGAAAAATAAATCTAAAAAGAAGAAGATAGTATGGTTGGAGTTGAATAAAGGATAATGAGGGAAACGAAACAGGTAAATAGTTGCGAAAAGAAATAATGTAAAACACCTACTTTTTGGTTTTGATCAAAATCTGAAATCTGTTTAGGTCTGGGGCTGGAATACAGAAGTGTACACAGTGGAGTCTTAAAAACCTTAGCCCTGGCTTTTTTAATGCCATGTCACTATCCTATAGGCTCCAAGTCAAGACACTGTTAAAATGACATGAACAACCACCACATCATAGGGAATCATCATGTAGTATATAAAAAATAAAAGCAACATGCTGAAAAATATTAATATATTTGACATACAGAGTACGTGCTGTACCTTCGGAAAAAAATTGTGTTTGGGGGGTTGGTTGGCTGAAGAGATGGATGGTAGTGATTGTCATGGTTTTGAAGCTGGCGTAGTGGAGCTTTGTCAAATTGGTGGTGCCATTGGGACTGAGAGGGATAATGGTGTTGGGTGGGTTAGATGGAAAAGAGAGTGATGAGAAGAGTGGGGGTACAATCGTTATGAGAGGAATGTAGGTACAGATACGGTTTTTAGTGAATGGCACTAAGGGGGGAAGAAGGTATTCCGTCCAAAGATCTTGTTTTTGGAATCCCAACATTTAAGGAACATGGATTTGGTGTACATGTCGAATCCAATTGCTTTGATTTGAATTATCCAAAGAATGCTTTATGTATATATCAAAAATATGGCCAATCAAACCTATTTCTCGATTCAATAGAAGTTTGAAGAGGTGAATAGGGTCCTTGAGATAGATTGGGTCACTAGCGGCTATCCATATACCCTGTAATTACCCTTTCAAGTAGTTTCCCATAAGCAAAGAATCAACCTCAATAATCACCTGCTTCAAACTCCTATCCATTCCTCTAATCCTCTTACAATCCTTTTAAATATACCCTTTCAAGTAGTTTCCCGTAAGCAAAGAATCAACCTCAATAACATTCCTGTAAACCTCTGACAATCCTTCTGACATCCACTACTATGCTTATCTTCTCAAATATAACCGAACAAAATTATCATCTTTCCTAAATGATTCTTCAGTAGTCCACCACATGCTGAAGGAAGGCCCATCTATATAAATCTTATACTGTCTGTTGGGGATTTTGTTCATTGTACTGGGTAAAACTCCTTGTCTTCTGCTTAAATACTTCAACTCCAAGACCCAAAAATGTTTGCTATCGAAGGACCCAGCCAACTCCTGCTTGAACACTGTTGTGTAGTTTTATCTTTGCTTTCATACTGCTGCCTTTTTTCCACGTTGTTCTTAAAAATAGTTGCTTCTTTTTCATTTTCGGTTTATCTGTCTCTTATACTGCCATTTTTTCTTGTGATAGGCCTTTAGAAGATGTGGATTCATCTCCTCCATGCATGGCCGATGTTTTTAGATGCATGGGAAAGGCAGCTCATGCTGCTTTATGTGCAATTGCAAGGCATCTTCGTTTGCGAAGCGAGTAAGAACAGTAAAAATCTTGTTATGATTGAAAAATTATTAGGATGGCTTTTTATTGTTTGACGATGAGTATATTGAACATGACATGTCCTGCAGTGTTTTTAACCACTTGCTTGATGATCGCCCATTGCCTGCTAATGAAGCATCTTCATCGGTTCTTGTTGCTATGCACTCTCACACGTCGTCACAATATGGAAAAGGAGCTATTGGGGGAGGGAAGATTGCAGTGAGTGGAGAAGTAGAGAAAGGATTGTTGACACTGATTTCATCAGATGCCCCTGGTCTTCAGGTATCTTCACATGCTTGTTATCATCAGTAATTATTTAGTTTCTCACCATGTATGTTCCGATTCATATGTTTTCATTTTCAATTTTTTTCCCACAAAACCTGTTGGTTTGGACCCTGTGATATTTTGGGATAAATATTCTGTTCCACGAATCATTTGTCAGTTCTTCTTTTGACAAAAAGGTTTGTGACCCCAATGGTCGTTGGTACCTAGCGGATAGTAGCTTGGTCCATGGGGACCTCTTACTTCTCACGGGGAAGGCTCTCAGCCATGCCACTGCTGGCCTTCGCCCTGCAGCTTCTTATCGGGCTGCACCTGATAATTCTCCAGGCTCTGCTAGTGGTGGAAGGTAGGTGCATGTCACAAAGTATGGTTTGACTTATAGGATATGAATTTCTTCAGCTATTAAGGGTAACTTAATTGACAGGCTGACTTTCTCCCCCTAGGACTTTATTGGCATTCAGGCTCATGCCTCAGGGCAATGCCATTTTGGACTGTTCTCCAATTGCAGCAGCTGGGCATGTAATTCCTCAAAGCTATGTGCCAGTCTCTGTAAGCCAGTTTCTGGATGATCTTTCTACTGAGGAAGATGTACTGCACAACAAGAATGATAATGCTTATGTAAGCACTTTTCTGGAGCAACTCTCTAAAGAATACAACTTTTGAAAGAACACAAATTATAGGACTACTTTGTGCCTGTCTTAACCATACGAGATCACTATTATGGTAAATTACATCAAATTGTACTATTATCTAATTATTTTCTGTGGTTCTCTATCTCATCCTTTTTTTCCGTTCCTTTCATTTGATATTTTGACCAATGAAAGGTGTTTGGTGCCTCATGTCTGATTTAATGATTTTACTACTATGCTCATAATAATGGTTTTTTTTTATGCTTCTGTTGCTATTCGTATGTTATTCGTACAAGAGTTTATTGGCAATATTTTTCCCGTTTGTAAACTCCAATGGGATTATATTTCTTTCTGAGATATGAAGCTTTGGATTGGTTTACTTCCTTTTTGAGATGTGAAATTCCTTCATTTGTTGGCTTTTCTTTCTAAATGATGCGTGATTGTACTGCAGTATGTGATGATGTCTTCTTTTGCAGATGGATCAACAGATCTCTGGAGATAATTTGAATAGGGAACCATCACTGAGAAGAATTCTGTCAGATCCGTTATCGTAAGTTTGATCAGCCTTTTTTTTCTATGTATTTTAACTTTGTTCTTGTTACCTCTTTACATTTCAAGCTGACTGATTTGTTCATTTTTGGTCGATTTTTAGTTAATTCTTTTATCTTTATGTTTCTACTCATATCTAACCGATAATGAAACTGATTGGTTTTTCAAAGTCCAATTCCATAAATTTATTGAGATATATAATTATTTATTTGTATCGCATTATAGTGTGTTGTTAACTATTGGGGTCTTTTGGGAATTCAAAAAGTACTTTCTCTGTATTTACGGACATAAATTAATTACAATGAGGGATAAATGGATAGGAGTAAGAGATGCAACGGATTTGAGTTATCCTATAGGAAAAATGTGGTTAAAAATACATATTAGTAAAGACGCATTCAAGAAACTTGTAATAACATCAAGTTCATAGTTGTTCGATCAGTATGACATTTAACAATCTGGGGTTTTTCTCTTTAAGCTTTAGTGCCTGGACAGTGGAAGAAGTGATGATTTCAAGGCTGTTTGAACTCATCTTCTGGATACGTATCCAGAAGTTTTTGCAACTTAATCATAGATGGAATCATCTAGGATTTGACCATTTCTAACTCTATCCGTAACTTACTAGAGGTTTGGGAAACAAAGAGAAGGTGTGTACATACGAGATAAAGGACACACAAAATAGGACATAAAGCGTGACCTCCAACTAAAGAAAAACGAAGAAATACTTATCGGGAATAATTGATAGATGAATCTAGCCTATATTTTGTGGGACCTTGTGCTCCTCGTCATCTTTCGTCGCATGAGATAATTTGTGCGTTTATGATGACTCTCATAGTCAGCTATTTAAACTTACTTCTGAACTTCAAAAGACTAAAAAATATGAAATATTAGATTAAGAGGTTCCATCAAAAATGATTTTTAGTGGTTACTGGGGACGCCCACAGTGAAAGGGCTGTGTTGTGACTTCAAGTGGTTTAGGGTTATGGGTCTAAAACACATGTTAGTCTCTATTTGGTATTTATGTTAGAGCTTAAAAAATTTTGTTTGTCAAACAAGCACAACTATTTTAGATGTTTGGTAAATTCAATAAAAATCTAATTTTGGTAGAATCTATACGATTTGACTGCAGATTTGGAAAAGCAACGAAAGGGTAGTTTTGCAGATTCTTCTTTTAGTGTAACGAACCGAGTCTATATACCCAAGTCGTTATATCATACGTACTGTTCGCTTTGAGTGAACATCTGTCCACTTAACCCCTTACGGATTTTTATTGCGTCCACAAGCCCAATTGGTATTAGGATTCAACTTAATTCTCTCATTAGGTAGAGGTCTTGGGTTCAAATCAAAGCAGACAATATGTATGATATAACGGCTTAGGTATAGAGACCCGGGTCTTTACAAAAACTCACGTTTTTTTAACTATCTAGGTCTCTACACCCCTGGATTTGAATCCAAGACCTCCGCCTAATGAGAGACTTAAGTTGTTTTTAGAGAACAGTAGAATGTTGGGTTAGCTCTGCCTAGTTGTGATAGGGGGCAGAGGGGTGACCGAACCGGTCAGTCAAAAAATAGGTAAACAAAAAAAGGTGTGTCTGGTCTGGTGTAGCTAATGTGACTTTCTCGATCTATAAAACGAGCTTTTAGCTCGAGAAGGCATCTTTGGATCGTTGAACTTTCACGTTCATATAGCGAAAAACTACTCCATTTTCTAAAAATAGCTCAGTTAATGAATGGTCGAGCAAGTGGCTGATGAAAAGAATACATACCACGCGATTTCTATCCAGTCTTTGCTCAAATTAAGTCTCTCATTAGGCAGAGGTCTTGGAGTCGAATCCAGAGGGACACGATAGAATTCCGTGAGGGGTTAAGTTAAGTCATTAGCTTACGTACTGTCCGCTTTAGGTGGGCTCATGCCCACTTATCCCGTCACGACTTTCTATCGCTTTGTCCAATTGGTACTAGGATTCAATTTAAGTCTCTCATTAGGCAAGAGTCTTGGGTTCGAATCCTGGGGGACTGGATAGAAAGCCGTGAAGGGAAATGTGGACATAGTCTCATCCAAAGCGGACAATACGTATGATATAACTGTTTAGGTATAAAGACCCGACTCGTTACATTTAGCTTCTCCTATTATCCTTCATCAAAATACCAATTTTAACCTTCCTGAATAAAATTAATTGCTTGTGTGTCCTAGGTCTGTCGGTAATCTTCTATTTGATTTTTTCCCCTACTATATAGACCATGCTTTAATTTTCTAGTTTTTGAGTTTTCATGAAACTTAGTTTTTTATGTGAATAACTTCTTAGATAAATATTTAATAATTCTATATTTTGTTCTAAAAGTAAGAGCTTGTTTGGTACAAATTAAAATCAAATTTTAATTTAAATCAAAGTCAAATAATCAATATTCACCACATCTTTTATGGTCCCACAACTTTTCAATCATACATTTCAAAAACTTCTATCAAAATCTATTAAAAATTTAATTTTAATTCCCACCAAACACCATAAATTTTACAATATATATATATATTTTCACTGACAATATGGCAAATATATATTTCTATATCCACATTCTCTTTCCACTCATATCTCTCATATCTTGTGTTTCTCCTCTCGAAGATTAATGTGCGTGCATATCATCGTAGACTTTCTCTCTCAACTTATGCTTTTTCCAATAAACTATAACTTTTCTTTATTAATTACGATCACTCACTAATGTAGTAAATATTTCTTCCTTTCCCTGACCCAAAATTAGATGGTAATGAGCTACTAAAAAATATTGTTAAGCCCCTTGTAAACTACTTTAGACTGCTTAATCCGGGGGCTGGTTCTTCCAAATTGACATTTTCTTGAACACTTTCGACGTTATTATGTATGGGCTACAGTTTAAGCGGAATATCGATATATAAATTCCAACTCTCCAATATGAAAATATTTAACCGGAATAATCAATGTCTCAAATTACTTCCACTTCAGTCCTCCTTGTTCGCTCTAAATCCTCTCGTTTAGTTATAATAATTTCATTTCAAGTTCTGGTGAATATAAACCTTAGAATTAATATTCTCCATCCTAGACTTAAATCCCTTAGAATTAATATTCTCCCAGCCAAAGGTTCTTTTCGAATGTTTCCACTTAAATCCCTTAAAATGCAAATATTCCATTTTGGTCTTAAACATTCTAATATTTCAGCAAGATTCTAAGTGGAAAAACATGAATGTTCAGGGTGTTCCAAAAACAATATTGTTTGCCAAATGCTCAAATGTTAATTTTGAAACATACATGAATTTTGAAATAAAAGTTTACCAAACATTTAATTGATTCTTGTGCAACTGATTCTTCCTTCGGTACAACAAAAGTTAATTATTTAAAAATTTACAGCAATACTAAACAAAGACTTTGTTTGCTAATTAGGAAGGTAATTTCTAACTAAAATCAAATTCAATTTGTGAAATGTCTTTGGACGTAGCATGAATCATAAACAAGGAGTAGAAAAGTAGGCATCACCCTTAGAATCCTGTAAGCACCTCTCTCAGAGCAGTTGTGAACAAGAAGTTGGTTGTGCAACCAGTGTGTATGTTTTTCAGGTTCATATTCCTGGAGCAGGGAAAAGTATATTGTTTCTGGTATTCAGAATAAACAAGTGTAGGTTACTTTTATTAGAAAAAATGCATAATTTGATGAGTGCTTCCAAGAATGCTATGTACATGATTTACCTTCGCTGAACAGAAAGATACCTTGTAATTGTTTCTTCTTCAGATCTTCTTTATGACTATTTATTGTGGAGCTTAAAGGTCTTTCTTGTGGAAAGTAACTCTGGTTGAATCTAATTTCTTCTTTGGTTCTCATAAACAAGGCTTCTAAATTTATAATGTGATTTCTGACATTAGTCTTTGTTTATTTCCAAGTTTCCCTTTTTTGTGAATTCTTACTGCTTAGTTCCTTGTTGAAATTGATTAGTCAATAGATACTGCTTTTCCTTAGTAATAAATTATGTTTAATCATGATTGGGGATGTTTCAGTGGTGCATTCCTTGAAGATGCTATGCTTGTTTCATGTGGACATTCATTTGGTGGTGTCATGCTGAGACGGGTTATAGAAACAGTAAGTAGAACAATCTTTTTATGTAGTTTGTATCCTTTTTGCTTTTATGTGTTTCACGTGGAAATTTCAAAGTATTTGATAGTGTTGGTTACTCAAAGTAAGGAACTGAACTATCGCAAAGCATCAATTGTGATCTAAAGTATGATGACACATCACATTATATATGTTGTTTGTTTATGGTTAAGGGTAGGCATTAGCTAATTGTTTCTCTACTTTCTTTTGTCATTGATCTTCTCACTGAAGTAGGCAACTAGGTCGTTTCTAAGACTGCAGCTAGCTGATGTAAAAAGTGGCAGAAGGAACTTCACAAACTTTTATGGATTCTCAAAACAAAAGCTGAGACCAATTTCAGCTTCCATACCGGAAAATCTCTGAAACATGAGTTTCCATTGTAACCATCCCTCTTTCTTGATGGGGTTACAGAGAAATTGAATGTGTTTGTGTATAGGATGTGGCAAAGAACAAGGCTCTAATGAAGATCTCAGATCTATATTAGCGATTAAACAACAAACCTGAAAATGAAACAGAAAATAGAACATCAGGAAATTAGTCAATTCTTTCTGATACTTTATTCCCTGCACTTAATGTTGTAATAAAATGAGAGAGCAACTGGTGATCTTAACAGCATATCATCAACTAGCTTTTTCATTACAATGACATCAGCTTCAATGTGCCAGCAACAAACTAGTGGATCTACAACTGGATTAAGCTGTACCTGAATTACAATTGCATGATATAAAAAAATGTGGCGAATATGCTATGTTATGTGGGCTCCACACTTCTGGGTGCCACACCTGTGTCAACGTGAAACATCAGAATGGGTGTGGAGTACTTGTTATATTTACCACCAATTGTTTCAGCATGGTGAAGAAGTACAAAAGGGAAGAGAACTAAGGAAACAAGAATAAGAGGCTAGGCATAGTACCTGGTGTTTTTGTCTGTTAAAACTAATAGCTTGGAATCCAGTTTAAATTGTGCTTAATAAAAGCAAATTTAAGCTACGGTCTTTTGAGCAAGCGTTTTGGTCCCGACTCAGTTGGTTCTTGGTCTAAGGTGCTATTTCAGGGCTGTAACTAGACAATTGAACTTTTATATGCTTGAGTTGTCAGTGTGTAGATATTTCCCATTATTTGCATTCCAAATGAGATGAAAAATTCGCACCTGGAAATTACTCGACTTGTAATTATTATCATTTTACGTGATTCTCTCTTTATCTGCTGTGTATAAACATCTCGATGGCAAAGGCAAGAATTATAACTATTATCACGGTTTCTGTCACAGTCAAAATGTACACTGTGCAATGCAGGAATTGAGGTGGGGTCTTTGATCCCTAATCATGGTAACCTCTCTCTCTCTCTCTCTTTCTCTCTATCACTCTGACAGCACTCCCATCTAGGTCCAACTACCCTATCCTTAGGTTCTTTTGTTAATCTTCACATTTTCCTTTTTTTTTCATCTTTTGATGGTTGTCATTCTGATTTTATCTACAGCTCTGAGAGCTGCTGCTGCAGCAGTGAAGCAAGAGGATGATCGACGACTGTTTCACAACGCAGCTCTCCGGAAGCGTAGGAAGGAAGCAAGTGACCACAGGGTAAACTTGAAACGCTTGTCTATTTCACGATAACTTGGTCCATAATCGTGCACACTAGTCCTCAAGCATAAAGGAATTTAGTAACACAGATTCTAGTGATGACATCTTCAGCTCAGAACATACTTAGTAGAACAGAATAGTACGAGTATATAAAACATATACCAAACTTTTGTGTATTATTTCTTTCATAATGTTGGTACTTCAATTGAGAACTGCTGCAGAATTACGTTGCTTCTTTTCTTGGCACAAATGTCAAAACCCGCATGACGCATATTGGCATTGAAGTAACATAATGCTCCATTTTAGTGTGCTTAAATATTGAACGTTTTTGGGTTTTGAACTCTGCAGGAAAATGGAGATGTTCCTCCTGAAAATGGGTCACATAAAGGTGTACAATATCCTTTTTCAGTGAATGAGAAGGTTCTTATTAAGGTGAGTAATTCGTAACTCATTGCGGTCATTTTTTTTTAGTTCCACAGTATCTATAGCAGTGGTAAATATGGAAAAAATTATGCAGGGAAACAGGAGGACACCTGATAAATTTGTTGGCAAGGAAGCAGTGATAACATCAGTGTGTCTTAATGGCTGGTTAGTTGCCTGAACATTATGATGTTAAAGAATACATCAGTTCAGCTAATTAACTTTTGTGCTTGCATAATTCATGAGAATCTCAAGTCACTTTATCTGTATTCAATCATGTATATTGAGTCTGGTTTTGCTTATGGGAAACCAGTATGGTGGTATGGTATAAAAATGCTAACCAAATTTAACAACGGGTAATGTCAGGCCTACATGCTAGCTTGATGATGAAACTTTGAATTCGTAAATGACAAAATAACTTTAGATTTCACATTGACTGAGATGCTTGTTTAATCATCGTGCGATACCAAACCAATGCTTTAGATTTAAAAAGCTGTTAGATATAAATAGATATTAAATATAATCGATTCAGTTATTTGGCATTTTAGTCTCACCTGAGTGTTATTTGTTTAATCGTATCATAATCTATAGTGTCACTAAAACCTTTTTTGTTGTGTGTGTTTTGCTTGGCCTTTTTCTATTACAGCTTTCATTCTCTTTGTATCTGCTTGGTATAGAATAAGGCACTGTTTGAAACTTGGCATCAAAACTCTTATACTATTGTTTATAATTTTTCCCAGATTTTGAGTAGCTCTCCAGTTCCATTGTGATAGTTGGCCCTTTATAATGCATAACTACTAAATAAATGGTTTCTTTTTCTTTTTTATAATAAGAAACAACATTTTTTAATAAAGGGCTCTAATCAGAATTAGTGGAGGATAAGATATTCTCAATCCACTGAACTAAAATTCGAGAAAAAAGTACTTGTTTCCAATTGAGAACGATTAGTGAAACAGGAAGACTTTCCAATCTCTTACACATAGAGACCCATACCAATACAAGGAATTTTGCTTTATCATTAACACCGAAAGCAGCAGCAAAAAAAATCCCAAACCCCTCACTTCCAGCCATGCATGAAAACTTTACTGGGAAAAAGTTAGCCACTGGTTTGTTCATTCTGGTAAAGTTCATATTTTCTTAACCATCTCTGACTCTCGTTTGCAATATGTCAAATAAACATCTACACTGGAAACAAAATTGGTTTCTTTATTGCAGAATAGTTTATAAATTTCTCCTAAAAGGTGATCAAGTGAATTTCTCACAGGTATATGCTTAAGATTATTGAGAGTGGAGAAAATATTCGACTACAGTACCGTTCTTTAAGAAAATTTCCCATGTCCCACGACTCCGAGGACAGATGTACAACACAGCCAGTTCAGAACAGCAGCTGATGCCACTTAATATTGTGACTTAAATATTGGGTCCACCTCCCAGTATTCTACTCAAGGTTGAAATTGTGGTATACAGTTATTATTTAAGTTGTCAGCATAGAACCGGAAATTGGATAGCGAGAAAGTCTGTATAAATGCTTGAGTTTCTGGTAGATTCTAAAAATAATAATAAAAAAAGAAAAAAACGAAACCCACTTTCTTGGTGATGAAAAAATGATACTAGAGCCTCAATTATCTGTAACACTTCTGTTTTGATGTAAATGAAAGGCAGACTATTGATTCCTGTTCCTTTCTTGCATAGCTGTACTCTGAACTCTTTAAGGATGGTTCCTGTTGTTTCCATTCATTTGATAGGTGAATAGTTCACTTTGTTCAGGAAACTCTTTAAACAAGAACTTATTCACCTTTTAGTATATGGAGGAGCTTATTTTTCATCTGTTGTTCCAAGTGTTGAAATTACTATGCTGTTCATACAATAGTGGTTCGAGAGAGATCAATCAGTCTTAACTGCATTCAGTTTTCTTGTGGGGACTCGAGATTTATGGATATAAAACAGTTTCAGATGCATTATAAGAACGGTTTTCTTTGAGTAGTTTTTGTTATCTTTTTTTATTTTTGTCGTTTGGATTGGATGACACCGGTGCGCCCAAGGTGCATTTGTTGATCAAATGAAATTTATTTAACGTGAGATTTATAATACTAACTTAAATTTCTGGTGGTCTTATTGAATGTATTCCAAATGCACCGGTGTCTCTACTTAGAAGTCTCCGTAGCCATGGCAAAACATTCATTAACTGCTGCAACTGACGTCCTTGCTCATTTAAGGTGAATCCAGGCACTTTTTGACCCATTTTCTCTCTTTTGTGTATAGGCTATCCCTACAAGCTATAGTATGCGGGAAGGGAAGTGGGATCTACCCGTCCGTACTATTATCAATTACAAACGTTCAATTTTAGTCACGAGTCATGCACAAAAGTTCAATGAAATTATGAATTGTATCTTCTCCACAAACTATTTGCAAAATTTACAAAATAAAATATAACATGCGGCCTCATACAGTATTATTTTAAACGTCCAATTTTATCTTGGCTTGATCAATACCTGGGATCGCCTACTCAACAATAGAGGCTCGAGTTTTAGTGAGAGCTTGTAGAACTTGTGAGCCTATATGGGCTACAAGGACCATAAAGATCCTCATCACATATAAGGAAGAAGAAAGTGAGCTAAATCCAACTTAAAGTAGATTTGGCAACACTTGTAGGTGAAATGTCGAGCACCAACAAAAAGTTACATGTGTACTAGTCCATGAAAGTTACAATTACTCAACAGTCGAGCTATTGGCCTATAATAAGATCATGTTTAGTAGAGATTTCTAAAATGTTGTGAAAAGAAAGAAAAAAAGAAGAGAATAGAACTCAATGGATTTGTGTATATTATAATACGAATCAAAACCCTATATTTATAAGGAATGACTATGGATACAATGATAATAATTTCTAGGGTTGCAAGGATACAATTGTCATTCCTAATAAACTTACCATTTACAACATTCTCCCTTAAATGACACATTACAAAATATATGTCTCATTAAAACATTGTTTGATAAAAACCTAACGGGACAAAAAAAAATCAAACGAAGGAAAAAAAATATAGTTATTTTGGAGAATTAAAGATAAATGCTGACTCATTAAAATCTTGTTAGGAAAACTCAATGGGATAAAATCTAAGCGAATGAAAAATAGTACAGTTACTCCACCTAATGTTGATCGCTGAAAATTTTTGAGTCGACGCATTTCAATCTTGTGAACCAATTTCTTAAATGTAGATTTTGGCAGTGTTTTTGTAAATAAATCAGCCACATTGTCACTTGAGCGAATTTGTTGAATATCGATGTCGTCATTCTTTTGAAACTCGTGTGTATGAAAGAATTTTGAAGAAATATACTTCGTCCAGTCAACTTTGATATAACCTCATTTGAGTTGTGCAATATAAATAGCATTGTTTTCATACAAAATTGTTGGACTATCTTTTATTAAAGTTAATCAGCATGATACTTGGATATGATGAGTCATGTTCCTCAACCTACACATTATCGACCTGCTTCATGGATTATAATAATTTCAGAATGATTTGAGGATGTTGTTATTAAAGATTGTTTTATAAATTTCCATGATATAGTTGTTCCTCCACGTGTAAACAAGTATCTTGTTTATGATTTAACTTTATGCGGGTCAGAGAGAGAACTTGCATCCGTAATCCCACTAAAGCAGATTTCGACTTTTGAGAATAAAATAATTACAAATCAATAGTACCATTTAGGTAACAGAAAATATGTTTAACATCATTCCAATGCCTTTGTGTTTGTGTAGAATTATATCTTGTAAAGAGATTTACAGAAAAAATTATGTCGGGCGAGTACAGTTTGCAAGATAAGTTAATGTTTCAATTACACTAAGATATCGTACCTCAGGACCGAGAACCTTTTCTCTATCTTTAAGTGGATGAAAATGATCTTTTTTCACATCAAGTGATCGAACAACCATATGTGATGTCAATGGATGTGCATTATTCATATAAAAGTGTTTTGAGACTTTTTCTGTATATGTAGATTGATGAACAAATAATCTTTTTGGAAATATTCAATCTGCAACCTGAGACAGAATTTGATTTTTCCCAAATCTTTCATTTCAAATTCATTTTTCAAGTAATTAGCAATTTTGTCGAGCTCTTCAAAAGTTCGAATTAACTTTAAACCATCAAGATAAACTGTCACAATTGCAAATCTAATATTTATTTTCTTTATAAAAACACATAGGTAGATAACGTCTTTTTTATAGCTTTTTTCAACAAATATTTGCTAAGGTGATTATATCACATGCGTCTGAATCAACCTATATAATAATCTTTGCAAATTAATTGAGAACATAGCTTTCGAGTATATATCATTTGTTCCTCACACTTTAAGTCTTTTGGGACTTTCATATATATGTCACTATCAAGTGAACCATACAAATAGGTGGTCACTATATCCAGAAGGTGCATATCGAGCATTTGTGATAAAGTCAAACTAATTAAGAATCTAAAAGTGATGTTGTCCATTATGGGAGAATATGTTTCCTCATAATCAATTCATGGTCTTTGTGAAAAACCTTGAACTACGAGTCGGGCTTTATATCTTTTAATTTTATTATTTTCATTTATCTTTCGTATAAAAACTCATTTGTATTCAACATGGATAATATTTTCAAGTGTTTGAATTACATGTTCAAACACTTTCTGTTTCTCTAAGAAATTCAATTATGCCTGTATGACTTTTTTCCACTTTAGCCAATCATTTCTATGTTGATAGTTTTTAACAGATTATAATTCAAGATTCTCATTTTGTATAATATTAAGAGCCACGTTAAAGCCAAAAAAATTGTCTATAACAACATTATTTTGTTCCCATAATTAATGAGATAATATAAAATTTATTGNATCATTCCGTTCCCGTAATTTATGAGATGACATATAGTTTATTGAATTCTCATTATTTTCGGACACTTGTGATTCTTCAGGAACCATATTTTCAATATTTGATTGATCAATTTTTTCTAATGTTACTTGTTCTTGTTAATTTTTCCCTTGTAATTTTCTTTTTCGAGATGTAGAGCTGATCGACCATGCTTCTAGCGTATTAGAGATTCATTTGCTACATCACTTGTTGTTGGAATATGTTTTGCTGGTATATATAATTTTGTCACTTTTTGTGTCAACAAATACATCGGTAATTGATTTACAACTCTTCGTAAATGAATGATTTTTTCGACTTCTTGCTCACATTGATTGTTGCGGGGATCAAAAGAGATAGAATTGTTTCATCTCAAGAAATTTTACCTTATTTATCAGGATGTAGTTTTTCCCCTCTCAAAGTTGGGAAACTCATTTCCTTAAAATGACAATATGCAAAATGTGCAGTAAATAAATCACCTTGTTAAGGTTTCAAAATACCTAATAATAGATAGTGATAAATCTCAAGTTTTCGTTGGGGGACCCATTTTAATACGTTGTAGGGATAAAATAGGGACTTGAACAGCACAATAAAAAATCTGCATGTGAGATTCATGACCAAATTTCAGTTGCAAATGCAAATATTCATAATTTGCAATTGGTCTGATACGAACCATTGACGCAATATATAATATGACATAATCCCAAACAGAAGCTGAGAGTTTTGTTTTCATAAATAACGGTCTAGCAATAAGTTATAGACGTTTAATAAATGACCTCACTAAACTATTTTGTGTATGGATATGCGCAATCGAATGTTCAATTACAATCACAATGGACATATAATAATCATCGAATGCTTGTAATCTAATTAATTAGCATTGTTAAGACGAATAATTTTGATTGAATAATCGGGAAATTTCGCTAGTAATTTTATGATTTGAGTAAATAATCTAGCAAAAATTATAGGCAAACATGTGACAATCTAGTAGAAGAATCAATTAATACCATAAAATAAAGAAAAGATCCACATGGTGGGTGTATTGGCTAGCATATATATATATATATATATATATATATCTACGAATTCTTTTCAAGAAAATTGGAGATTGGATATTGACCTTTATAGCCGAATGTTAATGACTAACTTGCCCTACGAATAAACTACACATGAATAATTATTAGATATAAGAATGTTCTGATTCTTCAAAGAATGTCCATGTGAGTTGTTTATTATTCGACGCATCATTATAGCTCTTGTATGTCCAAGTTGATCATGCCAAAGTATAAATTATTTTGGATAAACAAACTTCTGGTTCATGATAATTTTTGATTCGACCATTTTTATAAATGTATAATGCATGTCGATGGGAGTGTATGCAGTTTTTCTTTTATCTGCTTTTGGTCAGATACAAAATAAGTTATACAAAGATATTTAACATTATATTCTTGCATCGTCTCGATGTGATATCCATTGCAGCGGATATATTTAAAATTAAGCAATTTTTTTCTAAATTTGCTAGAATAAAGTATATTTTCAATATATAATTTTGTATTATTTAGTAAAATAACACAAACTCTTCCGGAGCCTTCAACGATATTCGATACACCCCGATATCGTATTAACATTATTTTCTGCTAATGTTAAATTTTAAGTACTTTTATCTTGAAAAATTGTGTGCATAGTATTTCAAAATTTATACTTTTTCAGAAGCACTGGTATAATATTCTTTTAGAATATTGAAATATCGAATTGTATGTCCTTCTGAAGCGATAAATTAATATTCTTCATAAATATTAATAAAACTTATTTTCCTTTAAAAAATTATGATCGATATTGAATTATTTAGATTGTGTTATTCAAGAACACAATGAGATATAATTCTTCGAGACATGTGCTATTTCGAGAGCACATTGTATTTATTATTGCTCATTCAAAAACAATATATCATTATTCTTTTGGAATATTGAAAATTATAATTCATGCTCTGCATAGATAATCAAATATTGTTATAATAAATTATATAATGAATTTACTCTTCGAGAGTAAAAATATAATTTACGTTAAATCGTATTTCACTATACTCTTCGAGAACAAATAAAATTTAACTAGAATATTTGTCAATAATAGTGTGTTACTTCAAGAACACCAATAAAATATTATTTAGAAATATTAACTCTACAGGAATATATTATTTAGCACATATTAATATTTGCAGAGCTTTGCTTTTTCAAGAGTATTGATAAATAATTATTGTAAGATATTTATCTGTATAAAGTTCTGCTCTTCAGGAGCAATAAACATAATATTCTTCTAGAAAATTAATTATAATGTTGTGTTACTTCATGAGCAACAACAAACTATTTGTAGATAAATCTGAATAATATTCTTCTGAAGTATTAATTATAATATTGAACTACTTCAAGAGTAACAACAATTTTATAATAGACAAATATAACAGTACTAAATTCATAAATTATACTATGAACATGAACGTGATAATTAATCAAACAAGAAAAAAACTAAATTCGGTGATTGGATATGTACAATTATATGTGACCAGGGCAGAAACTAAAAACAAGATAATGATATACACGTCACAACTAAGAGCCTGTTTGGTAAAAAATTTCATTTTCTACAGTAAATCAATTCTCATTTTCAACCACACATTCTTCAATAAAATAATATTTTCCATCACATCAATACTTTTTTCTTCTTTTTCAACCACACATTTCCCATCATATCACTATTCAAAAATCAATTCTTCCCCCAAAAATCACTAACAAACACTCTCCAAATACTGCGATTGAAAATTAATTGGAGCATTGAACTACGTGGGCTTATCGCGAAAACATTGAAATAGTGAAACATGCAACAATTCAAGCGGTAATTTAATCACAGTTTTCAAAGATGGTAGATAACCCACCAAAGGTAATTATATATACCAGCCATGTCTTAGCAGTTTCATCCCCCAACCAATTCCAAGGACACCTTTCATGTGACTTCAAATTGCAAAAGTGCAGAGAAGGGTGTAAGATTCGACGACGAATTAATTTTTTTTTTTTAAAGAAAAAAAATTAAAATAAAAGTGTTCTTCCTGATAATGTGTTTTGAAAATAGAGAAAAAGAGAAGAGAGAATAAAAGTCAATGCACTTGTGTGTATTATAATAAGAATCAAAGCCATATATTTATATGAAATGATTAAGAATACAATGGTAATAATTTCTAGGAAGGCAGAAATATAATTGTCATTCAATAATAAACTTATCATTTACAAAATAAAATTTATTTTTCGTCAATCTTTTTTTCAATAATACATTCTCTCAATAAATAATTCTACAAGCAGATCTATAATTTTTTTATTTTTTATTCATACATTCCCAAAAAAAAAACATTTTTTCGCAAAATCTACTATTAAAAGATATACATCAAACATGCTATAACGTGATCAACAGAATCTGGGAATCGATGTACTCAGTGGAAGTAGACCCTTTGCAGTCATTCTTGACATCTGACCCCTCCTCTCTTTATAAAATATTTTCTCCAATTCTTTGACTCTCATGGAGTTATTGTTACTATTATTATACAGAACCGACTGATTATTGGTGATATATTTGGAGTCATAATCATCATTCATAAACTGATCTGCCCTTTGTATAATGGAATGCTGAGAAGCCAATGCTTGGACTGCAATTCTTGGAGGTATTCTTGGATTCTTTGCAAGGTCTTTGCATGCTTCTAAACCCAGCTTTTCATAGTTGAGACATCCGCATAATCTTGATCGTTCCTCTAACGAGAGAGCTGGATGAGACTGCAATCCACATTACATTATATTACAATGGACAAGACAAAATATTAGGATGTGTTATAGTAAAATGCCAATGTAGAGTTCTATAAATATTGATTTATGGCAATAAATACATGACTTAACTCCAAGAATACCATAAAACTGTCAACCAGGACAAGCTACACGTTAGATTCAAGAATACGAAAAGATTAGTACCTGTCTAACAGCTGCAGTATTCACATGTAATAACAATAACAGCATCAGAAGAGAAGAGAAAAAGACAAATATGTGTATGTTCTGGCAGAGAATAATTTGCTTTATGTGTTGGCTTCGGCTTGAAAATATTAAAATCTCGACTAAATCGAAGCATTTTGGTATATATTAGTAATAACACTTGTTGGTCTAAGGGCGTAATGAAACTCTAATCTGGAAGAATTGGATAATGAATTCAATTAGTTTGCAGATTTTTTGGGAACCTAAAAAGGCACCATTATTTTCAAAATTTTGCCACAATCTTGTCGTAAAGACATACTTTTTGTCTCATATATTGGTATTGTCACTAACCCTAAAAGGTAAACACGGCTTGCAATAGCAGTAGAAATTAGGAAGAAAAAGAATGACCTGAAGATAGATGTCAATTGCTTTGTAGACTTCCTCGTAGCAATCCCTTGCATAATCTGGCAAACTTTGTGCAATTCCTAGGAATTTGGAGACTTTAAGGAGCTGATCAGGCCCTATCTCTCCCAAGTACTTATCCATTAATCTACCAACTTTTTTCATTTTCTCTAAGGTAACTCTATCATCATGTACAAACAATCTGATCAATCTCACCACAAGATTCACATCATAAGCTCCCCCATTGTGTCCTCCAAAAATCAGCAAATCATCAAGGGTTGCTTGATCAAGCATCCCACCAATCAACCTCTCCAAGCCGGCCTGGCATTCTCGGCTGAGCCCCAAACCTGATACGATTCTCAGCACCCAAAATAGCCCTCTGCAAGAAAATGCAGTCTTTCCCATCAAAATCACCCCATGAACTGCCGTATTCGCAAGTTCACTGTATTCTGATGTTTTAGTGTTTATACCCTTATTATTGGACCGGACAGCGGTTTTCAGATAGTGCAACAAAAACCTTGTGAGGACTAAACTATTATTTTCATTCCCATATGCTCCTAAAGCTTTCACAAAGTGCTCTATAGTTATTGGATTTAAAACGGTCATATCTTCAAACCACCATTCTTTTCTTGATGAACTTCGCTTGATTTTGAGTTCATCAGAGTTGAAACGCTTATCTGGAGAAGAGGAAGAAGAAGACGAGGATAAAATGAGGAGATTGACGTCTGTTTTCTGAGCAATCTTGGCTTGAAGTGAACATAAGAGCTTTTGGATTAGGCCACTTGAATCAGCATAAGAAAAGAATGATTCACAGCTCTTGAGGCAAGTGATAATATCACTCCAAGACCAGTAGAAAATCCCTTGAAGAAAAACCTCAGTCTGATGCAACAGATTGAAATTAGATACATTTTCAGTCATTCCAAGAAAAATTGCACAACAATGGAGTAAAGAGATATTGGATACTGTAATTTCGACAGTTCCATTGTTGTAACAGAATCTTATAGCTTGTTCAAATCCATCGGCTCCTCCCGGAAAATCATCAATCTCAATTCCCGAGTTCCTAATCTGAGTTCTTCGCTTTTCTTGTTTGATAATCTTTCTTAACCTCCCACAGAATTTTGACAAAATTCTCTGCAATAGAAACAGGCTGCTATTGAATCTTGTATGAACTAAAGAAATTAACAAGTTTTCATACAATATATAATAGATGGAGAAGTGGACTTACCTCATTGGTGAAGAATGTTTGTTGACAATTAACATGGATTTGCAAATCACAGAATTCTGCCATGGCTTCTTAGCATTGAATGAAACTGAAACTAGTTTTACTGATTTTAAAGGTGCAGTTTAAGAAAACTTCTCAAGCCAATCAACTGATTTTTCTTTTTGTTTTATGCACATTAACTGGCCTCTGAACATGCGTATTTTGACTTTAATTTGCTGCCGCATAACGAGACGTATATGTATATAGCAATGGCCCATAGAGTTTCTTTCACGACAGATAACAAATTATTCTGTTGACCCACAATTTTTTTATCACTTGATCTTTTGTAATCTCACTTACAAAGAAATATTTACATGCCAAATTTTCAAATTGAGGCTGTATCGACATCGTTCTTGAAGTGCCAGCTTCGTGGGTTTATAAGTACTTTAGACACTTTATTCTCGTGAGCCAGTTTTAAGGGCGAGTTCTCGAATGTATAAAAGTTGATGTGGATGCAATGAATACAAAAGAAAATATTGAGAAAATGTATGTTGTATAAGACACATTACGCAACAAAATAAGCCAATCACTTTCAAAATATTGTAATGTCCCTTGTCACCTGGGAAATATTTGGTTCCCTTGCCTTGTATTTATATGAAAACCACTTTTTGAACATGTGAAACTGGGGCCCTGCACGAAAACTGCAATGGCGTGTGGGAGGGGGAGAGAAAATTTGGATTTTGCAGCATTTGTTTTGTCTTTCCTTTACAATACCAGAATGTTAAAGGGTAATTTGCACAAAACGTTTTCATCCTTTGCCCTCATTGCGCAAATCGTCCTTATCGTTTCAAATTTGTTGCTCCCTCATTTCAATATTTTCTTGCGGAGTTGGTCCTTTCTGTATCCTTCCGTGAATTCGTTCCGTCAAATATAGGTAATTGGTGCAAAACGTCCCATGTCCCCATCGTTTCCCTTTATTGTGCAAAACGTCCATATCGTTTGTTTTCATTACTCAAAAGTCAAAAGCTTTACCATCTATTTTTTCCATTAAAGTATTGTAAACTCACTAATTCATCTTCTTCTTTAAATAAACAAATAGAAAAAAGAAATATTATTAAAAAATTGCAGTTAGAAAAAAGAAATATTTTGCGTAATGAAAGCAAACGATAATGACGTTTTGCACCAATAAATCATATTAGACGAAATGAATTGACGGAATGAAGCGAAAATGACCAACTCCACAAGAAAATGTTGAAATGAAGGTATTAATGTCAAATTTGAAATAATATGGACGATTTGTATAATGAATACGAACGAGGGGATGTTTTGTGCTAATTACCCAATATTAAATTATCAACTATTTTCATTTCTTTGTGAAAACCGGTTAAGAATTATCAAAACCGGTCTATTCATATGTTTGTCCAGTTCATGTATCATTTATCAATAATTACGTGGTTAAATTATTTAATAATATTATTCATCGTTCATCACCCGTGAATTCCATTGGTTTATTGTCCAACGCAATATAAGGATAAATCAGGATTTTAGGAATTTTTTATTTGAAAATGGTGATTATATTCACACCACATTTTCATTATATTCAAATTTATTCATTGTCATACTTATATTCTTAACTTTTTCAACGTCATTGTTAGAAAATCTTGTCCTTAATTATAATTTTCGTCCAAAAATATTGTTAACGTGCTTTAAATTGAGAGTCAAACATTTAATTGTATTTTTGTATTATTATTTGTATTGCTTATTAAAAAATACAATAGGCAAATGAGTTTTTTTTTTACTCTATTTTAAAGAAAATTTTGGGAAGGAAATTTCAATCAGGAACAATTTATGTTAATTTGAGAATAAAAATGCAGTGAAATAAAGTTTGAGACATAAACGTAATATTGTGTAAAGCTTATGAATCTTTTATGTAATTAAAATGTAATTTAATTATTGAAAATTGTGGTGTGAATATATTTAGCCTTTGAAAAATAAGAAAAATAAATTAATAAATAAACCAATGTCGATTAATCTCTTTCTTATCCTAAATAATGACATTCTTTATTTACACGCATCTCCTTTTAATTTAATACTTTTTTTAAAAAAAATTATCTACTAAGACAAGTGCTTAAGCATGATGACATGACATATTAATCTATTGTGGACAACAAATTTAATTCAAATCTTGAGACACACCGTAAACTTATATTGTCGAAGACAATATTTAAATTATAAAAACTTTTCCTAACGTATTGATAAATTATTATCACTGATTATAGGAAAAAAATTCACTGGGTACGTAAAATTATTCTAACTATCAAATATTTGAACAAAATGATAGTATGAAGCCATCGAAGATTTGAAATGCTCTTTTACAAAACTTTCATTTTAGTAATTTTTTGAAGTTGTTAAGAACTGTTTAGACGGTCGAAAAGGAAGAACCATAGAAAATAAAGTTTTGACCCTTCCGAACAAGAAGCATAGAATGGATTGAGTCTTGAAGTTGTGTAGTCATCAAAATTGATATCTTATTCACATTGGACATGAGATATCTTGTCCACCAATCACCAATGAGGTGGCAAGATCACGTCTTGTCATCTCATTGGTGAACAAAATATCTCCAGCCTACTTTAGATAGGAGATCGGTCCTGGTGTAGTCATTTGAGTAAATAGTTTGAAACGAAGAAAGATAATAAGAATAAGAATTAAAAATGACATAAAACATACATACATATCATGATTTAAGTGGACGCTTTCTACCACGGGTGGATATAAGACCGTCCCGCCAAAATTTTCCTCTGAATGCAGCTCAGAATTTAAATAAAAAAAATACAAAGTAGTAAAGAAGTTTGTAAGAAGTCTTGGTCATGCTTAAATAGTTAAATATGTAAATTTCATTTAGAGAAAATTACAAAAAATTCAGGTGTTTAAAGAATGATTTTCAAATGTTTAAAGTTTAATTATTCAAAAATCAGGTAATAATTTTATATCTTAATTAATATTAAACATAATATTATTAACCATAATTTCATCAATTTCTCCATCAATTCCTCCCTCTCTCTCCCCCTCCTCCTCTCTCCCTCGTCTCTCTCCCTGTGCGCTGTGTTGCCGTTCACAGCGTCTCGACGGCACAACAGAGAATCCTTCAAAAAAATCAACCTAAAATAAATATGATCTCGTTTTCGTTGGTGAAGAAATCATTTTGCCCCAAATTGAAATCAAGAAAACCATTGTTAAACTGAGTGCCGCTTTGTTCAGTCCGCAACAATCCTTCAGACCGACGGTGTTGCAGGTGTGTGTGCAGTGGGCAAGGATAATTGCAAAACACATTGAGTTTGGGTATGAACATTCAATAATGCATCGGCTTGTGCTGTGGGTGTGTGCGCAGTGGCGGAGTGGAGTCGTGGTGATAGTGTTGCCTCGGGGTGTGGTAGTGGTGTTGATGCTGGTTGTAGTGGATTTAGATCTGGTTGGTGGTGGTGGTAGTGTATAGTTGGATGCGGTGGTGGTGCTGTGACCAAGTATTGTTGGTGGATCGGGATTGGGGGTTGGTTTTTTGTGTAGGTGACCAATTATTTGTTTATCTGTGACTAACCGTTAAACCGTAACCTTAAAATTTTTTAATCTGTGACCTATAAAATTTTTGATTTTGTGATTTTGAAATAATCTGTGACCAATTAATTTGATAATATTTAACCGATAATATTTGACCAATAAAAGTTGTGACTTATAATTATGTATATGTGACCATTAATTATATACTATTATATTTAATTAATAAAAATATATTTAATTTATAAATAAATACTTGATTTTTGCATTTGAGAAACTTAAAGACTGATTTATGATTTTTTTTTTCCCCCTTTCATTTAAGTACAGCATCATGTTTGAATGAGGAGTGAGGACTTCACCAGGCCCATCAAGCACGAAAGCTATTGTCCAGTCTACAGCTTATTGGGCCAGGACTGATGGACCTCCATACATGATTGGGCTTAGTTCTTACAGTTTAAGTGCTTGTTTGGATTTCATTATAAATTGTTGAAGTTATAATATAATAGAAACGAATTGTGAAGAAGTGGATCTTACGAATATGTAGTTAAAAATCAAAATTTTAGTTTGATCTTTAAATTATAAAGAGATTATAATGAAAAGCAAACAAATCACTCTAAAACATGGTTGGTCGGGCCTAGTAGAGGGTTAGCTCGGTCTACTCCACCTCCGATTTATCTAATATTGATGGTATGAATTTTTCTCTTCAAGATATTTGTGATATTGACATAATGTTTAATTTAGGAATTGATGTCTTTTCTTCTCCTATTTTGTTAGGGATTGAGAATTCGGGTGCCCTCTGTGACATTTTAAAATAATGATCATTTCATACAATTAAAAAATATATTAAGAAAAAAATATTTTGATAATATTATTTCATTGCAAAAACATTACATTTAAATATTTATATATCGATAATAAGAAAAGACAAGACTCAGAAGTACGAAATAACAATTAACAAGTGGACAACTGGAACCAATAAAATGGCGATGTTACGATGTAAATTGTAATATTGTAGAGCAAGCAACAAAGACCCACAATAGAGTTTATTCTAGTCTTTGTTTGACCATTCTCGTGGGTTAAAGGGTGGGAATGCGGTAAATGATGAAAAAGAATATGTGGTTAGCTTTTCACTCTTTTCTTTAATCATTTGAATTTTAGGGTGCTTATTGTCTTGTTAGATTGGTAATTGGTTAATCAAGATAGTTGGGCATTTGAATTTAGGCTGGTAAAATAGATGGTTTAAATTTTTTTCGAAAGAAAGATAGTTTAAAATTAGAAAAAATATATATATTTTTTTTTTCAATAATATGACAAATAGCTATGTCAATGAGTCGAGTTGAGCCGAAAAAAAAAAAGTTCGGGCTCAGCTCGAGCCTTAGCGGGCCGGGCCGATCAGCTAGGTTTTTTTTTATAAGGCTGCAGCAGGCAGCTCCTTTAAAAAAATTAATTTAAAATTTTTTTTCATGAGCAGGCTCGCCATGGGCCGGGCCGGTTCGAGCTCGAGTCAACCCCCCAAAATGCCGACGAGCTTTTTT